CGATAAGTCGAAATCTACAAGAAAATTTCGTTCAGTGATTTTTAAAGACTGCTCGAAAGATTCACATTGAAAATTTTGAGAAGTTGCCCAAAAATTCGCAAACAATTCTGGGAAGTGCATTTTTGGTAGCGTATTCGAGAAACAACATGTTGATGTTCCCATACCAAGATTTGAAAAAAAATCGGTTTGAAAATAATTTTTTTTTAAATATCTTGGAAATTGTCGTTTATTCAATCGATTGTGGGAAAATTGTTGCAATTTTGGAAAAAATGAAGCCGAAAATAACTTTGAAGACGCTCCTAGTGTTTTTTAAAAATTTTTAAAAATCTCGAATGCTCCTGGTGTTTTTTTTTAAGAATTTAAAAGGAATCTCGGGGATCGTAGTGTTCTTTTTTTTAGTATGCCTAAGGCCCCTGGAGTTTCTTGGCGCTTGTTTATTTTTTAAGAATTTGAAAGAATCCCGGTGTTCCTACTGTTTTAAAAGAATATCCGGCCCTCATTTTTTTTTTTTTTTTTTTTAATGGAATTTTAAACAACCTCGGAAACTTTCTTTAACAATTTTGAAACAAACAATCCCTGGGTTCCTACTGTCTTTTTCAACTTCGTAAGAATCTTCAACGCTTCTGGTATTTTGTTTTCGGAAGCCTTTAAAAAAATGTCTGAAACCGCTGGTGTTTTATTAAAAAAAAAAAATAAATAAATAAAACAATCTCAGGGCTCTTAGTGTCTATTTTTAGTATTTATTAAAAGAATCGCGAAGGTCCTTGTTTTTTTTTGAGAATTTGAAAGTATCTAGAAGCTCTTAGTGTTTTTTTTAAGAATTTGAAAGAATTTCGGAGTCCCCACTGTCTTTTTAATTTTGAAAGAATCTCAGGCCCTTGGTGTTTATTTTTTAAAGAACCTTGGAGCTCCTTGAAGTTTTTGTTTTTTAAATTTAAACTATCTTGAAGCTCCTAGTGTTTTTAAGAATTTAAAAAAATACGTTGTTGTTTTATTTTTGGAAGAATTTAAAAGAATCTCGGAGATCGTAGGTTTTTTCTTCAATATTTTGAAAGAGAGGTTTCAACTGTTTTAAAAAAAATATCCGGGGTCATGGTGTTCTTTTTTTTAACTCAAAAATCTTAAGGTCCTAGTGTTTTCTTTTTTCTTAGGAACTTAAAAGGACCTCGGAGACTTTTTTTTAACAATTTTGGAACAACCCCTGGCTTCCTACTATCTTTTTCACTTTCAAAAGGATTTTCAACGTTCCTGGTAATTTGTTTTCGGAAAACTTTCGATCAGGAACCCAAAATGTCTTTTTTATGTGAAACGTTCTTGGGGGTCAAAAGTGTCTTTTTTTAATAATGTGAAACCTTCTCGAGGGTCCCAACTTTTTTTTTATGAATGTGAGACTTTCTCGGGGGCCCCAACTGACTTTTTTTAATAATGTGAAACCTTCTCGGGGGCCAAAAGTGTATTTTTAATAATGAGAAACCTAGAGGGACCCAACTTTTTTTTTTTTTTAATGAATGTGAAGCCTTCTCGAGGGCCTCAAGTGTCTTTTTTTTGAAAATGTGAAACCTTCTCGGGGGCCAAAAGTGTCTTTTTTTTTAAAGAAGATGAAACTTTGTCGAGGGCCCCAACTTTCTTTTTTTTTAATCAATGTGAAACCTTCTCGGGGGCCCCAAGTGACTTTTTTTCGATAATGTGAAACCTTCTCGGGGGCCAAAAGTGTCTTTTTAAAGAAGGTGATACCTTGTCGGGGGCCTCCACTGTATTTATTTTAATGAATGTGAAACCTCAACGGCCCCAACTTTTTTTTTTTTGAGGAATGTGAAACCTCGGGGGCCCAAGTCACTTTTTTTAATAATGTGAAATCTTCTCGGGGGCCAAAAGTGTCTTTTTAATAATGTGAAACCCAGAGGGCCCCAACTTTCTTTTTTTTTTTTTAATGAATGTGAAACCTTCTCGAGGGTCTCAAGTGTCTTTTTTTTTTGAAAATGTGAAACATTTTCGGGGGCCAAAAGTGTCTTTTTTAATCAATGTGAAACCTTCTCGGGGGCCCCAAGTGACTTTTTTTTGATAATGTGAAACCTTCTCGGGGGCCAAAAGTGTCTTTTTTTTTTTAAAGAAGATGAAACCTTGTCGAGGGCCCCAACTTTCTTTTTTTTTAATCAATGTGAAACCTTCTCGGGGGCCCCAAGTGACTTTTTTTTGATAATGTGAAACCTTCTCGGGGGCCAAAAGTGTCTTTTTAAAGAAGGTGATACCTTGTCGGGGGCCTCCACTGTATTTTTTTTAATGAATGTGAAACCTTCTCGAGGGTCTCAAGTGTCTTTTTTTTGAAAATGTGAAACCTTCTCGGGGGCCCCAAGTGACTTTTTTTTGAAAATGTGAAACCTTCTCGGGGGCCAAAAGTGTCTTTTTTTTAAAGAAGATGAAACCTTGTCGAGGGCCCCAACTTTCTTTTTTTTTAATCAATGTGAAACCTTCTCGGGTGCCCCAAGTGACTTTTTTTCGATAATGTGAAACCTTCTCGGGGCCAAAAGTGTCTTTTTAAAGAAGGTGATACCTTGTCGGGGGCCTCCACTGTATTTATTTTAATGAATGTGAAACCTCAACGGCCCCAACTTTTTTTTTTTTTTTTGAGGAATGTGAAACCTCGGGGGCCCAAGTGACTTTTTTTAATAATGTGAAATCTTATCGGGGGCCAAAAGTGTCTTTTTAATAATGTGAAACCTAGAGGGCCCCAACTTTTTTTTTTTTAATGAATGTGAAACCTTCTCGAGGGTCTCAAGTGTCTTTTTTTTTGAAAATGTGAAACATTTTCGGGGGTCAAAAGTGTGTTTTTTTTAATCAATGTGAAACCTTCTCGAGGGTCTTAAGTGACTTTTTTTTGAAAATTGAAACCTTTTCGGGGGCCAAGTGTCTTTTTTAATCAATGTGAAACCTTCTCGGGGGCCCCAAGTGACTTTTTTTTGAAAATGTGAAACCTTCTCGGGGGGCAAAAGTGTCTTTTTTTTAAAAAAGGTGAAACCTTGTCTAGGGCCCCAACTTTCTTTTTTTTAATCAATGTGAAACCTTCTCGGGGGCCCCAAGTGACTTTTTTTTGATAATATGAAACCTTCTCGGGGGCCAAAAGTGTCTTTTTTTTTTAAAGAAGATGAAACCTTGTCGAGGGCCCCATCTTTCTTTTTTTTTAATCAATGTGAAACCTTCTCGGGGGCCCCAAGTGACTTTTTTTTGATAATGTGAAACCTTCTCGGGGGCCAAAAGTGTCTTTTTAAAGAAGGTGATACCTTGTCGGGGGCCTCCACTGTATTTTTTTTAATGAATGTGAAACCTTCTCGAGGGTCTCAAGTGTCTTTTTTTTTTGAAAATGTGAAACCTTCTCGGGGGCCCCAAGTGACTTTTTTTTGATAATGTGAAACCTTCTCGGGGGCCAAAAGTGTCTCTTTTTAATAATGTGAAACCTTCTCGGGGGCCAAAAGTGTCTTTTTTTTTTAAAGAAGGTGAAACCTTGTCGAGGGCCCCAACTTTCTTTTTTTTTTTAATCAATGTGAAACCTTCTCGGGGGCCCCAAGTGACTTTTTTTTGATAATGTGAAACCTTCTCGGGGGCAAAAGTGTCTTTTTTAAAGAAGATGAAACCTCGTCGAGGGTCCCCACTGTCTTTTTTTAATGAATGTGAAACCTTCTCGAGGGCCTCAACTTTCTTTTTTTTTTTTAAAGAAGGTGAAACCTTCTCGGGCGCCCCAACTATTATCATAAAAAAGTAAAATTTCACAAAACCAAATATCAAACGTAGTTCAAGGGTGAGGGAAGTTCTGTCGAAATAACGTTCCACCAATTCTTTTGCGAATTATTTTAATTAAGCATCTCGGGGCTCTTATTATTTTCTTTTAAGGAATTTTCGGAGCTTTTAGAGTGTTTTTTATGTAAAAGATTATCGAAGCCCTAGGGTTTTTTTTTGAGAATCTGAAAGTGTTTCGAGGTTTTTTTTTAATCAATCGAAAAATACCAGGTGACTACTAATGCTTGGAACAAATTTTTAGGTTGACAATTCTGAATTATTGGCAGCAATGTTAACATGTCAATTTTGGCAATTTTTTTTAACACAAACTAATAAATCAGTATCAGTGTCATATATTAGTGAATCTTTGGGCTCCTAGTGCCTTTTTTTACAGAACTTAACAGAGTCTCGAATTCTCATCGCGTTTTGTTTTAGTACGAATTTAAGTGTTTAATTTTTGGCAGAAATATAAAGAATCTTGAGGACCCCTAGCATTTTGTTTTAGAAAGAATTTGTAAATTCCTTAGGGCTCCTAGTGTGTTATTTGAAACGAGTGTCTTTTTTTTAATTTAAAAGAACTATAACTACATCCCAAATGACATCTCCGTCGCCAAAATCCATTTCCTCCAATCCTATTAAGAGATAAATCCCAGGATAAAAAACGAACACTTCCACCGCAACAACCTTTAACAAATGTTCATGACCTTTTAAACACCGCCGTAGCGTGAGCCACCGCAAACATGCCCTATCTGTTAACATCTTGCCCTTTTTTCCAGCGAACGCAGTCACGATTTCAAAGTCGCCCCATTAAGTAAGCACCCCCACTTTAAAACGTGCCTGTCCGCGTCGGCATTCGCATGCACGCGCCCCATTCGCTCCCCCCAAAATTCCACGGAATTTAAACGGAAGGGTTGTCCTAAAAAATCCCAACATCTCATTTACGACCTCGCCAACTTATAAATAAAACCGTAATTATAACGTGGCCCTACACGCGATTCGTCGGAATTAATGCGATTTTTGACGGCACCTAATTGTGCCCGGAAAATCTAAAGACGAAATTAAAAATAGTCACTTTCGGAATTTATTACATCGGGGAAGTTGCATTAATATTCGCTGATGGTATCCGCCACGGCGAAAATATATGGCGCCTTTTTATAGAACTTAATAGAGAGGGAATAAAGTGTCTAGTTTACATTTTTCGGCATGCAATGAAAACCGTTTCGTTCCAGGAGCAAGCCCTCGATGCCAAACAGCAGGTGACCTCCCCCGAAGACACAGAGGACCTCTCGCCGCTGCCCAACCACAGCCAGCAGCCGGTACGCCGCCGCGGCGGCATTTCGGCCGAGCCCGTCACCGAGGAGGATGCCACCAGCTACGTGAAGAAAGTGGTCCCGAAGGACTACAAGACGATGGCGGCGCTGTCGAAGGCGATAGCCAAGAACGTGTTGTTCTCTCACCTGGACGAGAACGAGAGGTCGGATATCTTTGACGCGATGTTCCCGGTCACGTGCCTGCCCGGCGAGGCGATCATCCAGCAAGGCGACGAAGGTGATAATTTCTACGTCATCGATCAAGGCGAAGTCGAGGTACTGCATATTTTCACGTGAGATGAATTGTGTGTTGCATATGAGTATTCCAGGTCTACGTCAACAATGAACTCGTCACCACGATCGGGGACGGCGGCAGCTTCGGCGAGCTGGCGCTCATCTACGGGACCCCGCGAGCCGCCACCGTCAAGGCCAAGACGGACGTGAAGCTCTGGGGGATCGACAGGGACTCGTATCGCAGGATCCTGATGGGGTCGACTATACGCAAGCGGAAGATGTACGAAGAGTTCTTGTCGAGGGTATCCATTCTCGAAAATTTAGATAAGTGGGAGCGTCTGACGGTCGCCGACGCCCTGGAACCCGTCAGTTTCGAGGACGGGGAGACGATCGTGCGGCAGGGGGAGCCGGGGGACGATTTTTATATCATCGTAGAGGGCACGGCTAGTGTTAAACAGAATAGGGCGGAGGGGGAAGAACCGACCGAGGTGGGTAGACTGGGACCAAGTGACTATTTCGGGGAGATAGCGCTCCTGCTGGACAGGCCACGGGCCGCCACCGTGGTGGCGTGCGGACCCTTGAAGTGCGTGAAGCTCGATAGGGCACGGTAAGTAATGAAGGAGTAAGATTTCGCTAAGTTATTGAAAACAGTTCAATCAAGGAAAAAAATGTGATAATGCTTTTTCGTTGCAGGTTCGAGAGGGTGCTGGGACTGTGCGCGGATATTTTGAAGAGGAATATAACGCAGTACAATAGCTTTGTGTCACTTTCTGTGTAATTACTAACCGGTAACTTATATTGTGAGTCACTGAGAAGACGTCAAAAAATTTTTTAGCGCTCCGGCCGCCGTGTCGGCGCAAAAATCAAAGTACCTGTGTTCGAATAGGTTGTGTTCTGTTACTGCTTTGCGGCCCACCTGTTGCATTTTAATTGTTTCCACAGAATTCTCTCTGTGACTCACTTATAAATTGTTTATAATTATACCTTATGAAACCGACTCAGCCAAATTAAAGTCTTCTTTAGTAGCTTTCTTTAAATAGACTTGTAATATACTTATTTATTTCAAGCTTTGTATTATACGGTTGTTTTTTAAATAAAATTTTAAGTGTTACATTTAAAGAAATTTTTATCACGGTGTTGTCATTTAGGCTTTAGTTCCTTTATTCAAGTGTTTTTCCTCATTTTGGGGTTTGAGTGTAGCGGAATCGACAGTGCTCAAAATTCACCACAGACCATGGGACAGATGTTCAGTGTGCACTCTAACCTTAAAACCTATTTAAGTTTATAGTTTTTATTATTAAAATGCCAAACTTTAGTGCTTACTAAGTAAGGTAAAAATTGACCAATAGAGTAATCCACTAGGTTACGTCATTAATCAAAGTCGCGCCATCACCTGAAAACGTCTACACTGGGTCATCTTGGTTTCAGAAAGAAAAAATGTTACATTTTTAGGAGAATAGTGGGTTTAAGTTAACGTAAAAGATTGGGAAATTTTTACTGAGTGTATCATACACAGTATTATCTTTTTTGTGTTGGTAAACTGTGCCCGCACATAAAGTTCTTTTTTCAGAGCTTTGTATGCGGCACTGTGTTAAAAAACTCCAGATTTTGTGTGAAATTTGTAAATGTACATTACCGACTTTCACATACATGTGCAGTAAATTGTTTTACAAACGTGAACTTCCTGTTAAGCAAAGACTATTTTGTTTCATGATGTATAAATAAAAAAAAAAGAATAAATAAAATGTAAAATCAGCATCATGTGTTTGCTTTATATGGATCAAGAGTATTTAAAATTGTGCTAAACGAATTTGACAGTTGGCTAATTTAAAATGTTCCTAAATCAGAACACGGTTTCACCTAATCATTGATAAATAACCATCGTGTGTTATGTATACGTCAGATGTATTCACTATTCAGTCACAAAAAAACTTATTTCGTTTCAAAAAATTAAAAATATCGGAAACTCCGGAACTGCATACTTTGAAATTTTAAATTCGCTTTAAGTTCATTTGAAATAGATTTTGCCTTGTATTTGATCTTTTGCTGTTACCATCACAAAAGTTTAGCGTGACAATGGAGGCCAACATCGTGATAAACACAAAGTTCCACTAGTTTTACCAGAGTCCGACCCTGACACAGTTTGTTTCATAGTTCATAATAATTATCATAAACTTGATTTAATCGTTGTAAAAAACGCATATTAAGTTCTGAAATAGATGCCGTTTTACAAAAACAGCAGCATATTGAGTTCAAGAGTTTAAATATGTTTTTACTGTTTATTTATAGTTCATTTTTCACATGACTCGGATTCGTAATTAGATTCGGCTAAACTCGGATGATCATTGTCACTTGTCGATCTGACGAAAGCACACGAGTAACCATCGGAAAAGCCGACACGATCGCACCATTGTGTAATTTCTGTCATTCGTTGAGTCATACGTCATCTGTCATTTTTAAAGTGCTCGTGAAACCAAGATGGACGTGCGTTCTTCGTGCGATATTTCTAATTTGAGTGTAAACCAAAAATAGGTGTAACATATTTGTACTCTTCTTGTACTTTTCCCATAATTTATTTGCAGATTAATTTTCTTTTATAAGAAGAATCCGCAGGACACGCTTATTTTATTGGTAAGTGACGCTGGCTTAAAATGGCCATCTTGAATCGAATCTGGAAGCGCAATAACAAATTTACCGTTAGTCGCTTTATTCGGATGTTTCCTACGTATTAACTGTTTTTCACGGTATTTATAGTTGAATTTGACGGGTACTCAGTCTTTGTTTCGTCCCCAGATTTCAGGATGGATGAGAAGACGGAAGTGGCCACGGCCCCTGCGCCCCCCGCAGGGGCGGCCCCCACGTCGAGCGAAGCGCAAGCGGCCCAACAGGCCCAGCAGCAAGCCCAATGGGCCAACTGCTACTCCATGTACAACTACGACATGGCCAGCTACTACCAATTCTACGTAAATTACCCCTATCAGACCGCGCTCTACCAGCAGGTCCATCAGCAGATGTTCGAAAATAGTAAAGCAGACACCGGCGCGAAATTCGTGCCCCCTCTCCCTCCGGGACCGTCACTTCCAACCCCACACATCTCAAAACCACCTCTACTGAACACCCCCAAATTCAGCCCCATTAGGTTCAACCTGCCCGGCAAGCGCTCCAACGGCGCCCTGCAGCAGAACAACTCGCTCACCAGCGGCGCCGCCAAGAAGAAGCGCAAACGCAACAGGAACAACCAACTCAACCAGAACCAGCCTCAGAACCTCCCTCTGCCCCCGCTGCCGCCGCCCGAGCAGCCGGCCCCACCTCCGCCGCCCGAAGCGGCCCCGCCGCTGCCCCCGCTCCCGGACACGTCCAAGCCCCCGCCGCCGCCGGCCGTCCCCGACAAGGTAAAATATCTTGACAACCAGATTTGGCTAAACGCCTCATTAAATGGTAATTAACTTAAGCTCAATTAAGATATTCTATGTACTGTATCAATGTTTATTCGTTGACGGTTAGATAGATTGAAAAATGGTGGGGGTGGAAAATGGGGTTAGTACCAATCAGATGGCGCTAAATTCGTGTTTAACATAATCCTACTTAAAATATTCTGTGAGTTGGTGGTTTAGTTTGATTTGTTCCAGCCGGCGGCGAACAACCCGACCGACGAGTGGCCCCCGAGTCTCAAGGATTACGTGAACCGGTGCTACGCCAAGTGTAAAACGAACATTGATAAGAACCAGGTGGAGATTATACTTAAGGGGAAGATAACGCACGCCTACCAGATGGGGCAGCTTCACACGAAGGACTGGGGGGCGGAGCCCCTACCGAACATACACAGCGAGCGGCCGACGCTCGTCCCGAAGACGGTACCGGGACAGCTGGCCCAGTTCCAGAACGCCCCAAAGAAGGGCTTGTCGCCGGCGATGGGCGCGCGGCTGGGGGCGAGAGCGTCGACGCTGAGGGGCACCAGCAGGTCCTCTTCTAGGTCTAGGTCCAGGTCGAGGAGTCCGAGGAAGACGTCTAGGTCGCGATCGAGGAGTCCGCGCAGGCATCGGTCGTCGAGGTAAGCCCCCAGACACGTTTAAAATCATAGGTACATTACGTCAACAATGTCATTCGTGTCCAAAAATTTAGGGATATAACAAAAAACCCTAAAAAAAAACATGGCGAATTATTTGAACAATTATGCTAAATGTAAATTTTGTCTTCTTTGCAGTAGTAGTACCAGCGAGAGCAGCGACGAGAACTTCAAGCCGCTCCTAAAACCAAACAAGAACAAAATCAAGAGTAAACTAGCCAATAGATTAGGTCCCACGAATAAGAACAAATTCGCCAACAAACCCGCGAAAAAGCAGAAAGTGAAAGAGAAAAAGGCGCACTTGTTGTCGACGTTCGGTTCGGAAGTCGAGGAGAACTCAGAGCTTCTGTTGCAAAGAGCGGCGCGTTTCAATAACGTGACGAAACAGAAAGAGCCGAACGGGTTAATGGCGAACAAGATTAGCTTTAATAATGCAAATGATAAGTATGAGGACAATATCGGTGACTTTGACTGGACTGGATTTCACATTGTGGGCACGTGTCAGGACTTGGAAAAGTCCTTCCTTCGACTGACTAAAGCCCCGGAAGCATGTGAAGTACGTCCAGTTGAAGTTCTCAAATTGTCATTGCAGAACGTCAAGAACAAGTGGAAGCAGAAGCCGGATTATTATTACGCCTGCGATCAGCTGAAGTCCATCAGGCAGGATCTCACAGTAAGTCATTGTTCATGTTCATGTTAATGTTAATTGTTATTGTTTTAAAAGAAAGAAAAAAAATTGTTTGTTTTGTTGTTGTAGGTTCAAGGAGTAAGGAACGAATTCACGGTGGAGGTTTATGAAACTCACGCTCGAATTGCTTTAGAAAAAGGCGACCACGAAGAGTTCAACCAGTGTCAAACGCAACTTAAAATGTTATACTCGGAAATCGGGGGTGGGAACAAAAACGAATTTACCGCATATAGGATATTGTATTATATTTTTACTAAAAATACTCTAGGTGAGTTTCTGGTGTCGTTTTTGTACGTATTTATTTATTTTTTTGCAGATATAATGACCATCATGAAGAGTCTCTCTAAAGAGGAGAAGTCCGACGACTGCATAAATTTCGCGTTAAAATTACGGTCTGCGTGGTCTTTGGGCAATTTTCACAGGTTCTTTCGGTTATATCTGCGTGCGCCGTTAATGGCGGGTTTCTTGGTCGATTGGTTTATCGAGCGTGAAAGAAAGTTGTATTTAAAGTGTGTCATAAAAAGGTACGTATTATTTTGTTTCCTAGTAGACAGTATTTTGCAAGGTGTTTCAACAGCATTTGGGATAAACTAATAGGACTTTTAGTTGTTTTTCCGATTTTCAAGATTAAAAAATGGTCAAATTGTAGAATAGTGGCGAAAGTAAGGTACCAAAAGATGTCGATGTTTTTTATTTTTGCTTACACTCGAACACGGTGTCGATTCATGTGGGGTTTGAAATTGTACAAGAAGCACTTTGCATGTATTTATTATTATTGTTATTACTAAAGTCGGCGATTTTATCACGAGCAAAGTTACTGATTGGAAGTTTTTATTGACCACTAAAACATTTTTACTATTGTTTTTGTTCATCTATATTAGTTTATCTAAAATTTGGAACTGCTTTGCAGATGCTGTGATGCAGGTAGAAGAACGTCATAAAAATATTCTAACGCTTGATCTGTGTTTCAATTAATTTATTTTTTGCTTACTGTGTTACTAATTTTGCTTGAGTGGCAAACAATTGCTTAGTGTGAACTAGTCAAAAACACAACACTTTCAAACTTTGGTAAAAATCAAGCCAACTGTGAAATTTGATTTTATTGTGTCTACAATACCATGACTCTGATGACTTGTTTCTTCAAAATTGTACCGTGGGGTCAAAAATAAAACGATTGGAGTTGTAGACCAGAAGTTGACATTATGTCAAAGTTTGTAGCTTGACAGGCGCCAACTCTTTCATTTTATTTTAGACTACGGTAGTAAATCACATATAATAAAATAGCGAAAATCGTACTAAAAGTTCAAGAATCAACACTGAATTGTGAAAGAGCGACTGTTTAATTTTTCTTTGAATCAAGTAGGCGTAGTCATCGAATCGTGACGTTGAAACACAGCCTACTCCGTCTAAAACAGTTTTGTTTTCAACTCCACCCACGGCCAACTGTATTAATACATATGGCCATCCCAATTCGTATAAAAAGTTGATTCTTTGACGTTTCCAGAATCGTTAATCAGGCAACGACATCTGTTGAGTACAATTATGAACTTGGTTGGCAAATAATTGTCAAAATGACGTTTTAAAATATCACGTTTTTCTGAAAGTGTAGATAATGGCACAAGAACATTAATGATTATACTCATATTATTTAGTTTTGAAATAAGATAGATATATTTTTACAAAACGAAAATTATTTAACAAAAAGGAAGGTACATATTCATAATTTTAAAACTTTTCTGCTGGTAGGTTTGTTACAGATCGTTATTTTCTTCAACCAGTCTGTTTGTTCCAAACAAATATTATCAATAACTGGTTTTGGCAAATCACATACCTTCCAAGAAAATAGAGGGTGGGTGGGCGGGGCTAGTATCTGCTAAGATAAAACTGATTTTCGCACTTTTGACATTTTCAACTATTTCAGAAAATTAGTTGAAGACATTTTTTGTAATTTCCAAAAATTTTTTTCTGTAACAGTTAAAAGACGATCTGATCCAACGGAAAATAGTTGGCTTATAGATAATTTTTCGCAGATTACGAATCTAAAATATTTTTCACGATTTCTCTTCAAATAACTGAGAAATGCGAGAAAAGGAGTCCAAAAATTCCCAACATTTCCAAAAAATTCTAAAACCGTTCCAAATGGCTTTATTTGAGAGGAAAACATTGACTTTCTAGTTTTATAGAATACTAATCGCAAATTTACCTTATGAAATACTAGCCCCGCCCACCCACTCACCCTCCATTTTCTTAAAGAGTATGTCGTTTGCCAAAAATTGCCTTATTTAAGCAAGTACTAGCCACACCCAGCCACCCTGTATTTTCTTAGGGATGTTTTTTACTGAAATCAGTGTTTTTCTTAGCAAATATTAGCCCCGCCCACCCGCCCTCTAGTTTCTTGGAAGGTATGTGATTTGCCAAAATCAGTATTATCTTAGCAAGTACTATATTGTATATTGAAATGGCAAAATAAATGATTAAACAATAATTAAATACTACTTGCTAAGATAATACTGATCTTGGCAAATCACATATCTTCCAAGAAAATAGAGGGTGGGCGGGCGGGGCTAGTATTTGATAAGATAAAACTGATTTTCGCACTTTTGACATTTTCAACTATTTTTCAACTATTTCAGAAAATTAGTTGAAGACATTTTTTGTAATTTCCAAAAATTTTTTGTCTGTAACAGTTAAAAGACGATCTGATCCAACGGAAAATAGTTGGCTTATAGATAATTTTTCGCAGATTACGAATCTAAAATATTTTTCACGATTTCTCTTCAAATAACTGAGAAATGCGAGAAAAGGAGTCCAAAAATTCCCAACATTTCCAAAAAATTCTAAAACCGTTCCAAATGGCTTTATTTGAGAGGAAAACATTGACTTTCTAGTTTTATAGAATACTAATCGCAAATTTACCTTATGAAATACTAGCCCCGCCCACCCACTCACCCTCCATTTTCTTAAAGAGTATGTCGTTTGCCAAAAATTGCCTTATTTAAGCAAGTACTAGCCACACCCAGCCACCCTGTATTTTCTTAGGGATGTTTTTTACTGAAATCAGTTTTTTTCTTAGCAAATATTAGCCCCGCCCACCCGCCCTCTCTTATCTTGTAGGATATGTGATTTGCCACCGTTAGTCTTACCTTGGCAAGTACTAGCCCCGCCCACCCGCCCTCTAGTTTCTTGGAAGGTATGTGATTTGCCAAAATCAGTATTATCTTAGCAAGTACTATATTGTATATTGAAATGGCAAAATAAATGATTAAACAATAATTAAATACTACTTGCTAAGATAATACTGATCTTGGCAAATCACATACCTTCCAAGAAAATAGAGGGTGGGCGGGCGGGGCTAGTATTTGATAAGATAAAACTGATTTTCGCACTTTTGACATTTTCAACTATTTTTCAACTATTTCAGAAAATTAGTTGAAGACATTTTTTGTAATTTCCAAAAATTTTTTGTCTGTAACAGTTAAAAGACGATCTGATCCAACGGAAAATAGTTGGCTTATAGATAATTTTTCGCAGATTACGAATCTAAAATATTTTTCACGATTTCTCTTCAAATAACTGAGAAATGCGAGAAAAGGAGTCCAAAAATTCCCAACATTTCCAAAAAATTCTAAAACCGTTCCAAATGGCTTTATTTGAGAGGAAAACATTGACTTTCTAGTTTTATAGAATACTAATCGCAAATTTACCTTATGAAATACTAGCCCCGCCCACCCACTCACCCTCCATTTTCTTAAAGAGTATGTCGTTTGCCAAAAATTGCCTTATTTAAGCAAGTACTAGCCACACCCAGCCGCCCTGTATTTTCTTAGGGATGTTTTTTACTGAAATCAGTTTTTTTCTTAGCAAATATTAGCCCCGCCCACCCGCCCTCTAGTTTCTTGGAAGGTATGTGATTTGCCAAAATCAGTATTATCTTAGCAAGTACTATATTGTATATTGAAATGGCAAAATAAATGATTAAACAATAATTAAATACTACTTGCTAAGATAATACTGATCTTGGCAAATCACATACCTTCCAAGAAAATAGAGGGTGGGCGGGCGGGGCTAGTATTTGATAAGATAAAACTGATTTTCGCACTTTTGACATTTTCAACTATTTTTCAACTATTTCAGAAAATTAGTTGAAGACATTTTTTGTAATTTCCAAAAATTTTTTGTCTGTAACAGTTAAAAGACGATCTGATCCAGCGGAAAATAGTTGGCTTATAGATAATTTTTGGCAGATTACGAATCTAAAATATTTTTCACGATTTGTCTTCAAATAACTGAATCTAAATGTTACCCTTTTTAAAAAACTTTCTAATACAACCGTTTTTAAACTCTAAAAAGACATGTCAACAAATATGTAATCTGCTCCATCCTGCTTTGGACCAAAATCCATTATTTTGTTGCTTGGAACATAAATCAAGAGTTTGTGATATAATTATTCGAGCAACGGTGAAACCAGTTATAGATAATATTTGTTTGGAACAAACAGACTGGTTGAAGAAAATAACGATCTGTAACAAACCTACCAGCAGAAAAGTTTTAAAATTATGAATATGTACCTTCCTTTTTGTTAAATAATTTTCGTTTTGTAAAAATATATCTATCTTATTTCAAAACTAAATAGTAGGAGTAATATCATTAATGTTCTTGTGCCATTATCTACACTTTCAGAAAAACGTGATATTTTAAAACGTCATTTTGACAATTATTTGCCGTCGCCTGCGTTGACAGTTGCGCTTAGGGGATCTATCATTTGCCAAAATCAGTCTTATCTTAGCAAGTACTGATAACTTTTACAAAAAATGATCAAAATTTGGAAACATTACGAAGCTTACTTATTCAGGGTTCAAAGCAGTTGTGAATGTGAAAATAACTAAAATAGGCGGGCGGGGCTAGTAATTGTTAAGACTGATTTTGGCACTTTTGACATATTCGATCACTTTTCAACTATTTTCGAAAATTTTTATTTCCGTATTTTATTTTCTTTCTTTTTTCAATGTTCATGTTTAATAATTTTTCTTTTTTTTCAATTTTTTAAATTTGCGACTTTTAGATTTTTTCATTTTTCGTTTTTTCAACCTTTGAATTACAATTTTTCTAGTTTTCATTTCAAATGTGCAACTAATTATAACTTAAAATTTTTTTCACTTTTTCAATTTTTGGATTTTGCCCTGTATTTTCTTAGAGAATACGTCATTTGCCAAAATCAGTCTTATCTTACCAACCTCTGCTTCTGCGTTGGAAACTCGTGGTAGGTAACATTTGTTTGAACAGGATGGTATACAGCAATGCATTTTTAATCGTATTTTATTAGTTGAAAATTACGAAAATTACATATACAAACTAATGTGTCAAATTCAAATTTGAACTGTCATTCAAGGATAACTAGCGCCCTCAGAAGGAAAATGGTGTCGAAAGTAACTACTGGATTATCTGTCAAAGGTGGCTATTCGGCAGGCTTTATCAGCGCAACTGTCAACGCAGGCGACGTTATTTGCTAACCAAGTTCATAATTGTACTCAACAGATGTCGTTGCCTGATTAACGATTTTGGAAATGTCAAAGAATCAACTTTTTATACGAATTGGGATGGCCATATGTATTAATACAGTTGGCCGTGCTCCACCTAAGCCACTTTTTTTGTTACTAGACACGATTTTCGTTTTGGGTAATTTTATGAACATTCACAGAAATGGGCTTCTTGTTCGTAACTATTAATAAATTTCAGGGCGACCAATTTTACAAAAATAGTAATAACCAAAAAAAAATTTAATTCGTAAAACGTAAGGTGCGATTTGAATTCGTGAAAGCGCGAAGTGATTCGGCTCGCCGTAGCCGAATCACTTCGCCGCTGAATTTCCCCCCCATTGTTCAAACCTAACGATATTTTTTTGTTTAGCTATCGTCAAAACATATCAGTGAACTTTATCCAGCAAGAGTTGGCATTCCCAGCGTTGGAGGAAACTTTAAAATTTCTTGAACCGTTCGCTTTGACCTTCACGGACGTTAGCAAGACTCATATCGATTGTAAAACTAGCATGGTGTCTCTTCCGAATATATGAAATCGTTCACGTTCGCTAAGGGTGTACTGATCTTCGTCGTTCAGACCGCAGACGGTCCGGAGCACGATTTTCCTCCTCACAGTTGTTTCCATGAATAAACCTAGTTATAAGGTCGTTAAAGTCTTCATGCCTCAAATACAGCGTCTGCGGTCGTTTCCTTATTTATTATCGTTCACGAAAATGAAGGGAGCTCCAATAGAAGTCCAAGTCTTCAAAAAGGTTGTGTTTTTTATGGAGTTATTTTCGGTGGTGTTTATAAATGGCGATTTCCACTTAGTAAATAAGATTGTACATATGTATCATTTTTAAATAATAAAAGCTGCGAATTTTAGTTTTTTATTATTTAGTTCCACCAGAAACTGACGGAGAAGCTTTTGTCTAGTGCGGTGACGTGGTGCCACCACTTTGGCGGGATGTATAACATGTCACCGGGCTCAAGGGTGGACTTGTAAGCTCTGGCTTTGGTAAAGTCGGGGAATTGCGGATCGTGTTGGAACGGATCCACACGGGCTGTGTTTGATAGCAGGAGACTGTCATGGGGGTACAAATACGGACTGTCTTTAGGAGAATATAAAATCAAGTGTTTGGTTCCAAAAACTTGAACTAGAATATTGTTTTTGGGGTCATGGTGTAACGGAGATACTGTTCCTCCAGGACCAAACCAAGCGTTAATATCGGGATCTTCGGCTTCTTCAACGTCACTCAAGCAACAATAGTCGGGGATATGAATGTCTTTTCTCAATTCTGGAATCTGGTCAAAGAGGTTATGTTGCGCTAGATAACCGATGTTCGGTGATTCGCCCAAGAAGTGGCTCCTAATGAAGTCCTTCAAAGTCATTAGTTTTTGTCGCCAGTTCTCGTCAGCATAGTGTGAACCTATTTCAACTGGAACCGTCCGCTCGCCTGCCACTTTTAGTAAATAATTCACGTCTGGCCACGTTGTGAGTGCCGGCCAGTGAGATACGCAGTCTAAAAAACACACAAAATCATTTGTAGTTGAAAAATTTTAACAAACCTTGTAATTTTAGTGGTACTTTCGTTGTAAAATATTTATTGAAAGTTTCTAAAGAGGGGCAACTTAGCACGTCCACAGGCACTCCTTTCACACTTTCAAACTTCTCCAAGCCCTCGCTATTGTGTTTTCGTTTCTCATTTGTAGTCACTCTTGTTTCAGTGTCTTCATTTACGTGTTTGGAGAGATAAGTGGCACAGTTTGTTAATAGGTCGGTGTTTATTTCTAAAGGGGCCCCCAATAGCAACCCCATGTCTAGCGCTTTCAGACATTGCTGTAGCACCTCTGGAGTATTTGAACTGTGTAATAAAATCACAGTTTTGACGAAACTGGCAGCCGTAAATGCCCTTCTTACACTGACGGGGACTTCGCTCCAGTGCCCCGTATTTAGCTCGTCGTGCAAATAATCCAAAACACTCTCTATTTCGAGCTGTTTGTCTGCTTTAATAACGAATTTGTCGTTTTCGAAACATGATTTGAAGGTTATGTTAAGACACTTGTTTACTGGCTTAACTGACTCGCTTATTTCGTCTTCGTTGCTTATAAAAGAGTACAAAGCGCGTATTCGGGGGTCCATATCACTATTTGAACTTAAATTACATACAAATTAATTAAAACGAAAAAACTTAGGTTATGTTACAAAAAAGTGAGGTTATGTCACGCAGATTTCGCAAAAGTTCACGTTGTTAAATCATCCCATAAAGATCCATCCTTTTCACCTTTCACTTATCATCTCTGACACGACGACACGAAAACCGGCACCGAAACATGGTCCAGAGCGACGATTTGACCAAAAGTTTGGTCGCCACTTTGGGGTTAAGTGAGCAGAAGGCCAAAGAAACGTTAAAAAATGTTCCCCTCACACAAACCCTGTCTTCGATATTGCATGAGGTACGTACAAACGACACACTTAAAAAATTTACCGGTTTGTATTAACAGATACGCGAAGTTGTCCTCCCCGAGGGAACCGGCGTTCTTTTGTATCACTTTGCTACGAAAACCAAGCCCCAGATTGCCCACCATTTACCCCTAATCGTCAAATACATCGTCACCAAAAAACTGGACACGACACTCCGCGTGGAGAAAGCAATCGAGTACGCGTTATCCCACATCAAAAACATCAATCCACCCGAATTCGAACAGTTTTGCGGAGTGGGGGTCGTGGTAACCCCTGAAGAAATTGAAAATGTAGTGGAACAATACCTCAAAGAATACAAGAATGAGTTAGTTGAGAAACGGTACAAATTTAACGCGGGGCCGCTGATGCAGAAAGTCCGGGGGAAGTTACCCTGGGCCGACGGCAAAGCGGTTAAAAATGAAGTGGACGTGCAGATTTTTGACTTGTTGGGGCCAAAAACCGAAGAAGACTTGGCCCCCGCTGCCAAAACCGACAAAAAGGGAAAAACTACGAAAGCGACCAAGCCCCCAGTGAAGGAACAAGTCGCCAACGGCGACGTTCCAGCGTTGACGATTCTTGACGTGATGAAAAAGGTCAGTTTTCATCTACCGGGTCAAAATTACAAGACTGACGGGTATGTGGTGACCGAAAACACCGAGAGGTTGTTGAAGGAGCACTTGAAGGTGACGGGGGGTAAAGTGCAGACAAGGTTTCCGCCTGAACCCAACGGGATTTTGCACATCGGGCATGCCAAAGCTATTAATATTAATTTTGGGTATGCAGCTGCCAATAACGGGGTGTGTTATTTGAGGTATGATGACACCAATCCGGAGAAGGAGGAAGAGAAATTTTTTGTGGGGATTAAGGACATGGTGGAGTGGTTGGGTAAATTATAGTTTGATTGTCTTTAGGGATGTTTGATTTAATTTGTTGTAGGGTACAAGCCGTACAAGATTACACATTCATCGGATTATTTTGACCAGTTGTATGAATGGGCTGTGGAGTTGATTAAAGCGGGGTTGGCGTATGTTTGTCACCAGAGCGCGGACGAAATGAAGGGGTTTAACCCACAACCGTCGCCTTGGAGGGATAGACCGATTAAGGAAAGTTTGCAGCTTTTCCAGGTAAACCCTATTAAAATTTAAAAAATTGTGTTGTAATAAAAAAAATCAGGATATGAAGAATGGGAAAATTGATGAAGGTATGGCAACCTTGCGCATGAAAATTACCCTAGAAGAAGGAAAATTGGACCCAGTGGCGTACAGGGTGCGGTTTACCCCTCATCACAGAACTGGAGATAAGTGGTGTATTTATCCCACCTATGATTACACCCACTGTTTGTGTGATAGTATTGAAAATATAACCCACTCATTATGCACTAAGGAATTTCAATCCAGGCGATCGAGTTACTACTGGTTGTGCAACGCCTTGAAAGTCTACTGTCCCGTTCAGTGGGAATATGGGCGCCTTAATTTTAACTATACGGTAGTTTCAAAAAGGAAAATTGGGAAACTCATTGATGAAAAAATAGTTAAAGGTGATTTTCGCTCCACTGTTGTTATTGTGTAAAATAAGTGTTTGTAGATTGGGATGACCCAAGATTATTCACTCTGACTGCCCTCCGAAGAAGGGGTTTTCCAGCTGAAGCTATAAACAATTTCTGTGCACAGTTAGGTGTCACGGGGGCCCAAAGCACCGTCGATCCCTCTATGTTGGAAGCTTACGTCAGAGACTACTTAAATAATACAGCTCCAAGGTATATATAACCTCACTTTTTGCATAGTTGCACCATAAATTTTCTAGTACATATTTAGATGATTTTACATATTTTGTTTAACTAAGAATTAATTCTTTATTTATGTTTTATACTAGCAAAACGTCTTAAACTAAGAATATTGTTGAAATCGTAATAACGCAATGGATTTTTTTGGGGAAAACCTTTTGCAAACACTGTGTTCTATTTTGTATGAATTTTTTTAAATGTTTTTAGTGACAATTTTTGTGGTTGTTTTCGATATACTGTATGATATTAATAGTGAGAAAAAAAATGAACAATTAAAATAATCGAGAAATCGAAAAACTGAGAGTTTATAAACGTCAAATTTGAAAAATTAAAAAATCGAAAATTTGACAAAATGACAATTGAAAAACAGAAAATTTAAATCCGGGAAGTCGAAAAATCAAAAGATTAAGAAATATATGAAAAATTCGAAAACTTGAAAAATTCAAATATCGAAGAACTGAACTGAAAAATCGAGAAATCGAAAAACCTAAAATTTTAAAAATTGAAAATTTAAAATATCGAAAAGTTGAAAGATTGTGAAAACCGAAAATTCAAAAAACGAAAAATTGAAAATCCAAAAAGTAAAAAGTCGAGAAATCGAAAAATTCAAAAGTCGAAATACTAAAAAATTCCAAAATTGAACGAAATATCCAAAAACTGGAAAATTGAAAAATTGGGAAATCGAAAAGCCGAAAATTGCAAACCTAAAGAATCGAAAAATTGAAAAATCTGGAGCCTGAAAAATCGAAAAATTGAGGAACTGAAAAACTGAAAAATCGAAACCTTGGCAAGTCGAAAATGGGAAGATCAAAAAATAGATTCATTGAGAAATCGGAAAACTGAAAATTCAGAAACGTCAAAGCTTGAAAATTTAAAAAATTGGAAAATTCAAAAATCGAAAAGCCGGAAAGTAAAAAAACGAAAAAGCGATAAATGGAAAAATCGAAACATCGAAATATTCAAAAACTGAGACAATCAAAACATCGAAACATCCGAATCTCGATAAATCGAGTTCTCAAAAAATTGAAAAATCGAAAAATAAAAAATTCGGAAAAAGAAATATTAAAATATACAACTGAAAACTCAAAAAATTCAGAAATCGAAATATATATAAAGCAATCGAAAATTGAAAAATCTAAAGAAAAAAAAAACGAAAAACTGAAAATCCAAAAAATAAAAAATCGAAAAGTCGAAAAATAGATACATATATTGAAAAATCCCAAAACTGAAACAAATATCCAAAATTGAGAAATTAAAAAATTAGTCAACCGAAAAATCCAAAAATCGAAGAATTGAAGAACTGAAAAATCGAAGCTGCGAATTCTAGAAACGGGAAAATAAAAAAAATATATCTTCATTGAAAAATCGGCAAACTGAAAATTTAGCAACGTCAAAATTTGAAAAATTGGAAAATAGAAATACTGAAGAACTGGAAAATCAAAAAATCCAGAAATCGAAAAATCTAAAATTTAAAAAACATTGAACAATTGAAATATCGCAAAATTGAAAAATGGAGAAACCCAAACATCAAAGAATCAAAAAAGAAAAATTCCAAAATCTAAAACTCAAAAATCGACAAATCGAAACTCCAGAATTTAAAAAAATTGAAAAATCGAAACATGGAAAAATTGGAAAATCGAAAAACCGAGAAATCCAAAAATCGAAACATCGATAAATAGAAAAAATTGAGAAATTGATAAATTGACAAATAAAAAAAATTGAAAAATTTTAAAAAAGAAAAATTAAAACATCGAAAACTTGGAAAAAAATTAGAAATTGAACTGGCGAAAATTTGAAAAATCTAAAGTTTAACGAAAAATTGAAAATCCATAAAGTAAAAAAGGGGTGGAAACCCAAAAACTGTAAACTGAAAAATTTAAAAATTGGAAAATCGACGAATTGGAATCGATTGGCCTGAAAATTTGAGTAAACGAAAAATTGGAAAATCGAAAAGTCGAAGAATCGAAATATTGAAAAATCCCAAAACTGAAATATCGAAAAACATCGATTAATTGAAAAATCGAAAAATTGACAGTTTATAATTGTCAAATTTGAAAAATTGAAAAATCGAAAATTTGAAAAAACGACAACTGAAGAACAGAAAATCTAAAACCGGGAGGTCGAAAAATCAAAACATTTGAAAAATTCGAAACATCGAAGAACTGAAATGAATAATCGAGAAATCGAAAAATCTAAAATTTTAAATATTGAAAAATTAAAATACCAAAAAATTGAGAAATCTAAAATTTAAAAATCGAAAAAGTAAAAAGTCGACACATCGAAAAATCCAGAAGTCAAAAATGGAAAAGTCGAAGAACAGAAAAACTGAAAAATCCCAAAACTGAAATATCCAAAAACTGAGAATCTAAAGAATCGAAAAATTGAGAAATCGAAAAATTGAAAAATCAAAAACCTGCAAAATCGTAGGATCGAAAAATTGAATAATAAATAAACTGAAAAATCCCAAAACTGAAGAAAGTGAAGTTGAAAAATTGAAACCTGAAAAAAAGGAAAAATTGAAAAACCAAAAAACCTGAAAAATCAATTAATTGAAAAATTGACAAATAAAGAGTTTATAAAAGTCAAAAATTGAAAAATCGAAATATTTAAAAATCCAAAAATTGAAAAATAAAGAGGAGTAAACTGAAAAGTCCCCAAACTAAAATTTCGAAAAACAGAATTCGAAAGTTGAAACAGCAGAAATTATGGTCGAAACCGGTTAGGATGTCGTCAACCGTCCTTTAATTTAAACTATGACGCTTCTCTATATTCTCTGACCTCACTTTTTGGATTTCATTGCAATTTTTGTTGTTAAACAGGCGAATGGTCGTTTTAGAGCCGTTAGAAATCACAATCACCAATTTCCCGTTCGACAAACCAGTGGAAATCCCAGTCCCCAACTTCCCCAACAAACCAGAACTGGGAAGTCACTCTGTCACTTTTGGACCGAAAATTTACATAGAGAAGAGCGATTTTCTCGAGGTAGTTTTCCCCCATTGAAACTAAAGTCTACAGTTATTTTTTTCAGGACGGCAATAAAAATTATCGCAGATTGACCAAAACCCAAGCCGTGGGGTTACGTCACGCCGGCTATGTACTCTCAGTTACTGAAATAAAGAAAGATTCTTCAGGAGACGTAATCGGTGTGGTTTGTACGTGCACCGAAGTCGATAAAGTTGCCACTAAACCTAAAGCTTTCATCCACTGGGTTAGCGAACCTGTCGAGATCGAAGTGAGACTCTACTCAACTCTGTGGGTAATGAAAACGAAAGATTGGGAAAAAGTCAGTGTGAATTTTCAGATTTAAACATAAAAACCCGGAAGATCCGAGCGAGGTTCCAGGTGGATTTTTGAGCGATTGTAACACAGATACTTTGAATGTGTTGAAAAGTAAGGCTGATAAGAGTTTACGGGTAGCGAAGGTTTTTGATAAGTTCCAGTTCGAAAGAAACGGGTTCTTTTCGGTTGATCCTGATACCACAGAGGGAAAGGTTTTTGTTTTGTTAAATTACGTGGACTGTGTGTGTAATGGGTTTGTTTTAGTTGATTTTCAACCAGACTGTGGGACTTAAGGAAGACGCGGGTAAATAATGATAAAATTGGAAGAAAACTGTGTTAACAATAATTTATTATAAGATTTTGTAACTAACACGTGAAAATTCAATAAATAATAATTTTACCGATTTTTTAGTGTTGTGGTTGGCACCTCTGCGATTTAGTAACTTTTCATGCCTCTAGTCTAGTGTTATGTCACCCGTCACTTGTCAAACTCCTCACCTCAAAAAGTCCATTGCATAACAACATCCACGAAAGGCAGGAATATGTTGAAACCTACCAACGTTTCTTCATACCTGAAAGCCACCAGCCAGGTGGTGAGTAACAACCTCAAACCCGTCAAAACCAACGTTATAGTCGCCCAGCACCAAGTCACCCTCAAAAAACCGATCCCCCTCACGAGCTACTCCCTCAGCAAAACCCTCCCCATCGGAAATGCGGCTATCACCAGCGGCCCCGCCGTCTCCAGCCAGATCAGGTGGGCCCACACCGACATCAACGTCCCCGACTTTTCCCAATACAGACGCGACCCCGTCAAGTCCCCAACCAGCCGCAGCAGCGACTCCGAAGACAACAGGAAAAACTTCACTTACTTAATCGCGGGGGCGGGGACCGTGGCCACCGCGTACGCCGCAAAAGCCGTGGTTACGCAATTCGTGACTTCGATGAGCGCCTCCGCTGACGTGTTGGCGTTGGCTAAGATCGAGATCAAGCTGGCTGATATTCCTGAAGGGAAGTCGGTTACTTTCAAGTGGAGAGGTATTTAAGGTGCGTGTTGCGACTCTTGGTGTAACGGTTGAGTTGTAGGTAAACCGCTGTTCATCAGGCATAGGACTCCAGAGGAGATTGCGACGGAGCAAGGCGTCAATGTGGGGAGCTTGAGGGACCCACAGCATGATAACGAGAGGGTGCAGAAGCCCAATTGGTTGATCGTGTTGGGGGTGTGCACCCATCTGGGCTGCGTACCCATTGCTAACGCCGGGGATTTCGGAGGGTATTATTGCCCGTGTCACGGGTCGCATTATGACGCGTCAGGGAGGATCCGCAAGGGGCCAGCGCCGCTTAATTTAGAAGTACCCTACTATGAATTCCCGGATGACACCACCCTGGTAGTAGGTTAATTACTGATTTATTTATTTAATTAAGATGAAAATAGGTGTAATTACTACATTGTAAAGCAAGTTGTCCCACCAAAACATGATTTTCCTCTTTTGTTGTTTTTAAAACTGAAAGAAAATAAAGTTGAACTAAGAAAATTGCGTTATAATAATTAAGAGGCAAACAATAAAGAAAAATTCGTTAATAGATGTCGCAACTGTGGTCTAACCCCAGCTTTAAACAAAGATGAGTGCACAGACCATTAAACAAATAGGAAGACAGTTCATTGCCATTTAATCGTATAGTCTAGGAAGCGACACTAGCGCTGCGCGAGCGGCTGGAGCAAACACTCATTCGCTTATACTCGTGTTAATTTCGTAATAGATCGTGTTTACTGTCAACAAATATCTCCTTTAACGTCATTCAAATTCAAACGCCAAATTATAATTTTTTCAAAAGGTTTTCAGTAGTAAGTTTGGTGGCTATTATATCTGCTATTTTTAAGTCATATTAATATAGTTTTACTTGCTTCAGATACAACGGAAATGAAAATTATTAATAAATATCGATGCAAAGTTCCAAATTGTCCGTCAGTATACGCAACAGGAATCAACAAGAACAAAAATAAACATTTTTTTATTTTTCCTAAATCTCCAGTTCAAAAACAAAAGTGGATAGATACCATTAATGCCTCCTGCACAGAAAAAATTGTTGTTAATTGTAAAAAAGCTTACATTTGTGAAGATCATTTCAGTAAAAATTACTTTACGAGCACCGCACAAACGAACCTTCATAAATACGCAATTCCCACTATTTTTAAGGACAGTAGTCAAGCTGTGATTAATACTAATGGTGATGGGTATTCCAGTAAAAGTGAACAAAACAATTATAAAATTTTTATTTTTTTAGTCGGAACTATTCCGGAATCTGAGTATGATGGTAGCGTAAATTCACAAAGACGCAAACGCCATTGTGATACTCTCACGACAATATCACGTACTCCGAAAAAAAGAAAATATTCACCCAGTGTTTTGAAAAAGGTAGGATGCAAAAGAGTGGACGACTTAACTCCTAGAGAGCAAACTTTATTTAGAATAACAAAACGCCAGAAACAGGCAATAAACAGATTAAATTTAAAATTATGTAAATCAAAAAAAAACTTGGATCTTCTAAAACGTGCTCCCCAAAATCATCTAATTAACATTTTACAAGAAAATTGCAATTCTGTAAGTGCAAGCTTCATAAAATCCCAATTTGATAACATGAAAAAAAAAATTCCTAGATGGTCAACTGAAAATAAAATATTTGCCCTGGCTATGTACAAAAGAGGTCCAAAATGTTATCGCTTTTTAAAACATTTTTTCAGACTTCCGTCAAAAACAACTTTGTACAAATTTTTGAAAAATATACCTTTTGAATGTGGCGTGAATGACGAACTATTTGATAAGTTAAAAATGAGAATTGAGAAACTGAAACCAAGAGATCGATTATGCAAGCTTATGTTTGATGAAGTGTCTTTATCTACAAATTTAACCTATTCGAGATCTACTGACAAAATTATTGGTTTTGAGGATTTGGGATCTTTAGGACGAAATAAAAATTATGCTAACCATGCGTTAGTATTTATGATACAAGGTATTAGTTCCGGATGGAAACAACCAATAGCGTACTATTTTGTTAAGGACTCTATTAAAAGTATAAAATTAAAACTAATAATTAAAGAAATTATTAGCAAACTTAATATGGCCGGCGCAAAAGTCATATGCACCGTTTGTGATCAGGCCAGTTCGAATGTGAAGGCTCTACGTTTGTTAAAAGAAGAATCAAATGTAGAGTATAAGGAACCATACTTTAAGGTAAATTCAAAAAAAATTGTATGTTTATATGATAGTCCCCATTTATTGAAATCATTAAGAAATGCTCTCCTTAAATATATGATTTATTATGATGAAACCAAGAAAGCTAAATTTATGTATTTGAGACAAGCTTATCAATTTGATAGTACTCGAAGATTTCAAACTTTGCATAAAATCCGAGAACCCTTTCTTTACGTGAACAGATATAGATTATTAAAGATGAAAGTGTCAATTGCAGCAAAAACACTTAGTGCCAGTATGGCAGCTGCACTTGAAACTCTAATAGATTCAAAAGAAAATATTCCTTCAGAAGCAATCGAAACGGCTTTCTTTGTAAAAGAAGCAAATGATTTATTCGACAGTTTCAACTCCACTGGTATTAATATGCGTAACAACCACTGCAATCCAAAGCTAAGATGTGCTTTAACAAAGAAATCTGGTCATTTTGATTTTTGGAATAAAATGGAAAAAAAAATCGAAAGTTGGAAATTTTATGACGAAGTACGTGGTCAATTCAAAACAACTATGCCCTTTAAAGAAGGTTGGTTAAATAACATTCGTGGAATTAGACTTCTTTGGCAGATGTGTGAAAAAAATTAATTCAAATTTTTGCGAACAAGAATGTTGAATCAGGATCCTCTAGAAAATTTATTTTCATTGATACGACAATACGGTTCAGGAAATAGTAATCCATCGTGTTTTCAATTTATATCGGCGTTAAAAACAAGTATTTTGAATAATTTGATAGCATATCAAGCATATGGTAAGAATTGTGAAGAAGATGTAGGAAAACTTCTCGATAATCTTAGAATATTTTTATCCTCGTCATCAAAATCAACAAATTTTCAGTTTACAGAAAATATCAATGAGTTGGTAAATTTAGAAAATTCTAGCTCAACTAATAGAGCTGCATTTAAAGATTTATATGATCTTCAGGCTATTACATATGTTTGTGGCTTTTTAATAAAAAAATTAAAAGCTATCACATGTAAAGACTGTAAAAATTGTATAATTGCACAAAAAACCGAAGAACATCATATTTTCACTCTTTACAAAGAACAGGATCAAAAATTAAGGTTGAAATATGCTACAAAAGAATTTGTAACATGCTTAGCTGAGATTTACGATACCATAGTCTTCTTTTTAGATAATTTTGGAGAAGTTCCAAATATTGCAAGAAATTTAAAAGAACATATAACAGCAACAATTAACTTTACTTGGATTAACTGTGACATTCATATTGCTGATTTAAGAACGGAAATTATTAATTTGGCAGTGCGTCTAATAATAAATAAAAAATTGACCAATCTGCAAAAACAATTTGAAGCACATAATCGTAGAAGAATTAATAATTCAAATAGGTTTTAAAATTAACACCTACCCGTAGTTTCAAGAGTTTTTTTAAGCAGTTTGTAATTAAATTATTTTTTTTAGGTATTTCGAAATGAAATTGTTTTTCTTTGAGAGTTGTTTTGTAATTTTGTCATTGTTATCAAATATATGTTTTTCATTACTGAATTTAGTTTCATTTTTATAGAACTAAAATTGTAATTAAATAAAATTACTACTATAGTAATTATAATCTAGTAATCAGTGGATTTAATTCATGCAGGAGCTCGAGCAGCGCTGTAATCGCCACATTAAATCGTAGTGGTTTTTGAACGTCTTTCTATTTGCTTAATGGTCTGTGGATGAGTGTCAATAACAGTTAACTGTACTATCGGCCTGCTCTTTGTTTAAAAAAAAGCGCCCAGAAGTCGACATTGACAAAACACCACCCTAGCAACGCTTTCCCTTGACAACATTTTCGCATTACGTTTCAAAATTGTCATAATTATTTTTGGCGATGGTTAGTGGTAAAGAGTTCCGTTCGAGTCTTCGAAAACCCTTACCGGGAGCCCCCAGACACAAAAGTTGCCGAATCGTTCCCGCGTTTACCATCCAGGCCCTACAAAAAGGGACCTGTGTCGCGCCGCCCCCTCGCTGCAACGCACTCAAAGAACAGCCCCCGAAACCTACGAATTTTCGCACGAATTACAAGAGAGGGGACTTTCCGATTGCGCTGGAGGCCAATGGGAAGAGAATTTCGTGGAAGGTAAGTCGAACTGAGTGATAGTTTGAAGGGTCTAAAATGACAATTGCAGGCCGACCTTCAAAAACTCGATTACCACCACTACTTGCCCATGTTTTTTGACGGTCTTTGCGAAATAGAAGATCCGTATAAGGCTTTCGCCCAACAGGGGATTCACGACATGCTCACCTATGGCGGCCCGAAAATCTTTCCATGTATACCACAGCTCATTATTCCTATAAAAAGTACACGATTGTCGCTCTTCGAAGTTTTTACTTAAGAAATTACTTTTAGATGCACTGAACACTAAAAATAAACTAGTCATGTGTTCGACGTTACGAGTTCTTCAACACTTGGTGAAATCGGGAGAGATGATTGGAGAAGCTCTTGTTCCGTATTACCGCCAGATATTACCTGTTCTAAACTCATTTAAAGAAAAAAATGGTAAGTCACAATAGTGCGAAGTTTGTCTTGCCTTAGTTGAAAATGAAAGAAAACCGTCTCTATGGATTACCAGATTTTAATTGTCTTTTATTGCTGCCATAAATGTATCTGACCAATTTTAAGTTTTCTGTTAACAGAAATCTGCTTTTAATATCGATTAGTTCTATCAGAAAACAATTGAGAAGCTTGTCGTCTTGTTTAAATTTTTGACACAATTCTAATTCGATTTTTAAACTACGACAAACTTCTCAATCACGTGGACCTCGTCTCCTATATATTGCAAGCAGATGACTTAGACAAGTAAGTGTTGCACAAAACGTACTCCTTTGATAGTCCTTTAATCAAAAAATCGAATTGAAACTATGAGTCGTTTGCAGCTTTTTTATTTTTGTGTAAAAAATAACAAAAAGGGATTGATTACTGGACTACATCTTAATGCATGTAACCTTTTTAAAATTAATACACATTTACTACATTTTGTTGAAAAATACATTTCACTTTTTGTAGTAAACTGTGGCGACGGAATTGACTACAGTCAAATGAGAGGCGAAAACTTGGCCGACATAATCAACGAGACTTTAGAAACTTTGGAAAAATTTGGAGGAGAGGACGCTTTCATCAACATCAAGTATCTGATACCAACGTATGAGTCGTGTATGATGAATTGAACACTCTGTAGAAGAAATAAAGTTATCCTACGTTTCAAACGCCGTATTCGTCACACAATTACGTAAAATATTTAATATAAATAAATCGCATACACAACAACTAAACAAAAAATCGTGTCCTAAAATCAACAAATCATGAGATTATTGGAAAGACAGTCACTTACGTTTGAAAATATCTCGCTGGTGTATCCGTCCGTTTCCGCGTCCCACAGACACCGAACCACCGACTTCACTCCAGCCCCTTTTTGTTCACCTAAAGTTACCTGAACTATGTGTTTATACCTCTTCATTTTTAACCCTAACAAAGTTATTCATATTTCTGTACCGTTTTTAATTCGTTCAGTTTTACCTGTGAGTTTTGCACTTATATCGTTCGCTAGATCCACAGTCCACGTCTTCACTTTGTCCGCTTGGTACGTTTTCCCCCCCAACTGTTCACTCAGAGCGTTTCTCATGATTTCCTTAACCGTGCCGCCTTTAAATCTAGAATTAAACAAGTCAAGAGTGGTTTTTCATTATTTAAATTTTCTGCAAGTGGCGCCACCTGGTGGCCACCACTCATTCCACGATTTTGTATTTCAACGATTTTGCTTTTCACTGGTTTCACGAATACGTACTTGTCGGCCAAAACTGGCTTGATTTGGTACGAATGGATAGCGGGAATGGTCTCGACGCTGGCGGCTGCCTCAGCGTCCGATGGTTGAATAGACTGAGTGAATTCAGAACCTGTGCCCACCGAATCTCTAGTTTGGTCACTTGCGGCCACCGACACCGCGTCGGTGGTCTCCACTTTAGCGTCTTGCTCCTGCTGCGCCTCTGCCATTCCGATAACTACAACAAAATTCAACTAAAGAGGTTAACAAAACTGTTTACATTTTTTGACAGGTGACATAGCGAGGTTGACATTTCAAACGTCAATTTGAATTTAAATCGTGGCGCGAAGTGAACCGGAACAGTGACATTTAAAAGTCAATAGTTATTCGAAATTTTTTGCATTCAGAATGATCAGCCTTTTGTCCGTTTTCAATTACGTCCCCTTTTTGGGTAGCACGAAAATCGAGAGCGAAAATGGAATAATGATTTTAACAGAGAACAATTTCAAAAAAGCTTTGGATGAGCATGAGCCGCTTTTGGTCAAGTTTTACCTACCTTGGTGCAACCGGTGCCGGAATTTTGCTCCGGAGTACCTCAAAGTGGGCGAAATGCTCAAAAATTCGCACATTAATATGGGGCAGGTGGACGTGGAAACGGAGAAAGCGTTGCTGAAGGAGCACAAAATTAAGGCATTTCCTGCAGTGAGACTGTTTAGAAATGGAACTTATATCAACTACATGGGTTTACAAAAGGCTGAACACATAGCTGCGTGGGCGCAAAGACACTGTGAACAATGACCATTTTGGACTAACAAATCAAACATGAAATTATTTATTTTTGTATAAAAATTAAAATACAAAATTATTTTTTCTTTTTGAGCCTTTTAGCTTGTCTCCACGCTTTGTAATGCGTTTTCTGTTTTTCTTGAATAATTTCTTTGTATTTCCGTTTGTTATACTTGGTGAATTCGGCATCAGCAAGGAGCTCATCTACTAGTGTCTTCTTGCGCTCTTTCTTGGTTAACCTAGCGTTGTAATAATCTAGAGGCGAGTCCAAAACTTTACCAATCTACGAAAAAAAACACTAAGAATTTCATTACACAAACACCATAGACCAACCTGGAAATATTTGGGTAAAACTTTTGAGTCATTCTTTTTGTAAAACCGTTTAGGATCCAAAACCGACCTCATCTGAAGAATCTCCAAGTCGCGCTTCACCTCATCAGTCATTTCAGTGGCTGGTAACCCATACCACTTTTTGCCTTTTGTCAATTCCGATTCTTTCTAAAAGAGGACAATTTTTTGTGGTTCAAAAACAACAAAAACTCACCTTGCGTTGTTTCTTTAGTCTTTTTTCTGAGACTTCAAGCGGAGGGACTTCGTGCTTCTTTTCAAAGTCTTCCGTAAGTACGGATTTTTTCAAGGCTTCTTGAACCTCGTTCGAGGGGGTTTTCAAGTCACTCAAAATGTCAGGTTTGGTTTTTGGGGCGGTACCACTCCACCCCATTTCGTCAAAGAATGTCTGCAAACAAACTTCTTTTTTCTTATTTGTTGTGGGGGGCTTGTGCGACGGAAGAGACTCTTCATAGTCTTCGAGGAGCCGCGAAATCAGAGTATCTACAAGCGGTGCAAATTGTCACATTGTTCAACTAAAAACGAACTGTACTCACTTTTAGTTTTATTTTCGGTATTGTCTGAGCCCGTGGTGTCGATAATAAAATCCATGGTGCCCCCTCGTTTGGACATTTACACAATGACAGCCACGATCGCCAACATTTAACTATCGGAGATGATTGAAAATCACCAAAATTCTCCTAGTTTTTAGTTGGTATTAGTTGACATTTTGCATGTACGCATGCGCCTCACTCTCAATTCTTTTAACCTCAAATATAAGTTCAAATGTGTTTAACGTGACCCAACACCAAAATGCTCGTTGCGGAACTAAACTCGGCTCTAATTCTCACCTCTGGTGACACCCTCCTCTTGCCGGCTTCCAACCAACTGATCAAAATTCCGCCCCCCGACGTGCCGCCGAACCTAACCAAGGGGCAGCTGCAAGTCCTCAATAAGCAAGACCGGACCATCACCTCCGTCACTACGTCCCGTGACGGTAAGCACATCGCCGTCTCCACCGAAAACAAGCAAATCGTGGTCTTCGACGCCGCGTTCCGCATCGTGAGCAACTTCATAGTCAATCGTGCCCCCAGTAAAATACTTTTTACGAAATCCGGCGACATGCTGGTGGCGGACCGCACTGGAGATGTGTATTTGTACAAGCGCGAAAAAACCGAACCCGTTTTGTTACTGGGGCATCTGAGCATGATTCTCGATATGGCGTTAAGTGAGTGCGAAAAGTACATAATAACTTGCGACAGGGACGAGAAAATTCGCGTGTCGCGCTTCCCGAACACGTACAACATTGCGAGTTTTTGTTTGGGGCACGACGAGTTTGTGATTAGGGTTGTAGTGATTAAGGGGGTTTTAGTGTCTGCGAGTGGGGATGGAACCGTACGGGTGTGGGACTACGTGAAGGGGGCGCAACTGTGTAGTATTGATACGAATTTGTGTGTTAAAGACGAAAAGTTGCTGGAGGAGTTTTCGGGTGTGATGGATAGGGAAAAAGTGGATGTCACTGCGTTACCGATTACGGACATGCAGGTGGTTTGTGACGGTGATTGTTTAGTAGTGGCGGTGTCTCTGTACAGTTGTAGGGACGTCCAGTTGTATAGGGTCGAGTTAGAGGGTTATAACTGGACTGTGTTAAACTCTGTTGAACCTGTAGATGCCCTTCACAAGTTTTATTTAAGTAAAAACTTATATATTTTTGATAGTTTTAAAGTAAGTGTTTACAATTTATCAAACAGTGCTTTAATTAATAGTGATAAACAAATGGATGAGTTTTATGAAAAACATAAAAATGTTTTAAAAATAAGCGAGAACGAGATTACAGTTTTATATAAACGGAAGTTTGACAACGTGCAGGAGTACTTGGAGAGGAAAAAACTAAGACTAGAGAGTGGGAAATAAAATTGGTTTGACTGAAACTGACTTTTATTTCTGGACTAAGTTACCTTTAAAATTCTTTGTGGGTTGTTTTGTGATAAAAATGGGGCGCTAATTCCAACAACCAGTCGCTTTTTATGACAGTGAGGTCTCGCATGAAGAGCTTCGTCGTGTGCATTACTTCACAGAAAAGTACCCTTTAAAAAAATTATTGTAGGCGTCTGGAACGAATTTCATTGTTTACTTACCATTGGGGCTGTGGAATAGTGTACAACACACTATCCGGATGAACAAACAGCTCAATATCCCCCCTCACCGTTTTATAAACCCCACTATAATGTAAATAGGCGGCGTTCGGAAAAAGTCCAGTCACCAAACATTTACAAATCATTTCCGTCAAACCCCCACATGACACAATAGGAACGTCATAATTTTTCAACATCTTCTCCAGCCGACTGCGAATCTCCACCACCCTCCTCATACTCTTATAATTAATGAAATTTTTATGACAAAACCCCTGCGACATCTCGCTACTAATAAACCCATTAAACACGTTCAAATACGTGATTAAATCCCCCTCCTCCACTTCAAATAGCCTCTTCTGGATGCGAGCTTTCACCGCGAAACTCCCTGACGACGGTTTCGTGAACACCGTCTCCACTTGCAACATCGAAATAATCGTGAGAATCTCCTCCGAGCAGCCGAAATCGCCCGAACTGAGGAGCACCTTGGAGTAGAGGGGGTCGAGGGCGAACTCCGCCATATGGAACCCTAAAGGTTTAGTGAGTTCGCCGTTTATGTCTATAGCGCCTAAAGCGTACAAGATCTCTAACGCGCTGCGCAGGTTTTGGACTGGGGGCGGGCTGGGGAATTTGAATTTGAGGATGTTGCTGATACCTAGGGCTTTGAGCTGGAGGACGGCGTAGGTGAGTTTGGTGCGGATGATTTCGGGTGGGGTGCTGTCGGCGAGCTTGGGTAAGTAGTCTTCTGGGTATAGTCTGTACACGTTGCCAGTGCGCATGCGTCCGGCTCTTCCAGCGCGTTGGTCAGCGGAGGCTTTGCTCACGGGAAGAGTTACTAAGCTGTCGGTGTGAGTTTCGTTGTTGAACCAGCGCATTTTGACGAAGCCGCAGTCGATAACTAAACGAAAATCTTTATTATTTTTGTGTACAATGATGTGTAATAAAGTTCAGCCTGGATGGCTAGGCAACCAATAATTCACGCAATTCACTTCCGTGTATAATTGGTTGCATATCCGTAATTACCGTGAACGATTCCAGGAATGGTCACCGACGTCTCCGCCACATTAGTGGCAACCACAACCTTCCTGTATCCGTCCGGCGCTGATTTGAACACCTTCAACTGTTCATGATACGGCAGCGAGCCGTACATCGGCAAAATAAACATTTTCTCTTTCTTATCGGCTTGTTCTATATTAGTAGCGTGTTCTTTCAACAATCTAACGGCTCGATCGACCTCTTCTTGCCCAGTAAGAAATATCAAAATATCGCCAGACTCCTTCGACAAGTTGATTTTTAAAGCCGTTTCCACCGATTTCTGTACGTAGCACGGTACAGGCTCTAAACACAAAAAACCATTTCGCGTTAAGGCGATAATCGTGTTGTTGTTATCAATAATAATTACCCATCGTGTAAAACATATTGACCGGAAATTGACGCCCCTTTACCGATAAAATGACAGCTGTGTCTTTGCTTTTGTCCCTCATGTGACTGTTGTTGAAGAATTCGTACAATTCTTTTGCGTCCATGGTCGCCGACGCCACGACTAGTCTGAGTTCGGGTCGTTTCTAAAAAAAACAGGGTCACGGATGCTATGAAAAATTGAGTCGTTGTATAACCCTTAAGATTTTCTTCATCAAGCCCATGAGGATGTCGGTGTATAAGGTACGCTCGTGGACTTCGTCTAGCATTATGGCGGAGTAGGACTTAAGGAGAGGGTCTGACATCATTTCGCGCAGCAGGATGCCTTCTGTCATGTACTGAAAAAATCAAGGTTTGACTTAAATTTTGCATTTTTTTTTTCTTAACATACACAGTCTTCCCTTCGTAACATGGAACTAAAAACATGTTTCCGATTTCTTGTGAAAAGAAAACTATGCACATATATTAAGAAGAAAAAGGCAAAATACAAAACCCGCCCACCCGCCCTCATCTCAATCGTGACAAAGTTTTTATTCGTTGTGAGCCGTAGGGCGGAGCTTAATTGCGAAATGCTTATTTCTCTAGAACAAACTACCAAATGAAACATGTTTTTAAGTAACATGTCGAAAGAAAACTGTATAAGTAAAGAAAAACAAAATCAAAAATTAAGCCCCCCCACCCACCCAACCTCTAATGTGATGAATTTTTCATTCGTTGTCACAGCGAGGGGCAGAGCTTAATTGCAAAATCGATGTTTCCCGACAAAAATGTCCATTTTAAACGTTTTAAATATCTTGTCGTGAAAATATTGTCACGTATATCCAGAAAAAAGGCAAAATTTAAGCCCCGCCTACTATGTCAACAACAACATGTTTCATAGCGTAATTTCTTGTAGAGAAACAACGATTTTGTGATTAAGCTCCTCCCATTTGGCTCATGACGAATACAAAAATCATCACAATTGAGATCGGGTGGGTGGGTGGGGCCTATATTTTCTTTTGTTTCTTAATATACGTGGTTATCTTTCACAACAAGAACTTAAAACATATGTAAAGTGGTAATTTGTTGTAGGGAGATATTGATTTTGTAATTACGTTCCGCCCCTCGGTCTGACAACGAATGAAAAATTCATCACGATTGAGATCGTCACGGAAGGGTGGGGCTTAATCTTTGGCTTTATTTTTTACTTAATATACATAGTATTCTTTGAACAACACAATAGTGAAAAGCATATTTTACATGATAATTTCTTGTTTATTTAATCCGTTTTGGAGAAATGTTGGAATTTTTTAAGAAATAAAGCCCAAAATAACTTCTACGACTCAAAAGAAAATGTCTAGATAATACTTCGAAGGGTGCTTGAATAGTGATCAAAATTTCCCATTTTTGAAAAATTGTTCAAAAATTCTCAAAAAAATCTGGGAAATACATTTCGACAAGCTAATTCGAAAAATATAACATGTTGATGTTTCAGGACCACGATTTTTGAAAAATCCGGTTTGGAAATGAAATTTTTTAAATATTTTGGAAATTGTCGTTTATGCAATCGATTTTGGAAAAAATTGTTGGATTTTTTGAAAAAATAAAGCCGAAAATGGCTTCTATAAGTCGAAATCAACGAGAAAATGCCTAGGTAATATTTCGAAGGATGCTTGGAAGGTCAAAATTTCGTATTTTTGAAAAATTGAAATTTTTAAAAAATCGTCTAAAAATTCTCAAAAAAATCTGGGAAATACATTTCGACGAGCTAATTCGAAAAATATAACATGGTGATGTTCCAGGATCACGATTTTCGAAAAATCCGGTTTGGAAATGAAACTTTTTAATTTGTTGAAAATTGTCGTTTATTGAATCGATTTGAAAATTGTTGGAATTTTTGAAGATATAAAGCCGAAAATAGCTTCTAGAAGTCGAAATCTAGAAGAAAATGCCTAGGTAATATTTCGAAGGGTACTTGGAAGGTCAAAATTCCGTGTTTTTGAAAAATTGAATTTTTTAAAAAATTGTCTAAAAATTCTCAAAAAATCTGGGAAATACATTTCGATGAGCTAATTCAAAAAATACGCCATGTTGATGTTCCAGGACCACTTTTCGAAAAAACCGGTTTGAAAATGATTTTTTTTTTTTGATAACTTGAAAATTGTATATTTTAATCGATTCTGGAAAAATTATTGGAATTTTTGAAGAAATAAAGCTGAAAATAACTTCTATAAGTCGAAATCTACAAGAAAAAATATTCAGGTAATTTTCGGAAGGGTGCCTAAAAATGGTCAAAAATTCTTATACATGTTTTTGAAAAAATTACATTTTTGGAAAATTGCTTAAAAATCCTCAAAAATTCTGGAAAATATATTTCGACGAGCTAATTCGCAAAACATAACATTTTGATTTTCCCATACCAAGATTTTCAAAAAATTCGGTGTGAAAATGATTTTTTTTAAATATGTATCTGGAAAATTTTGGTTTTCTATTTAATCCATTCTGGAACAATTGTTGAAATTTTTTAAGAAATAAAGCCGACTCAAAATCTACAAGAAAATGTGTAGGGAATATTTCGAATGGTGCTTGAAAAGTAGTCAGAATTTTGCATTTCTGGAAAATTGATATTTTTAAAAAGTTGTCTAAAAATTCTCAAAAAAATCTGGGAACTACATTTCGACCAGCTAATTCGAAAAATATAACATGTTGATGTTCCAGGAGTACGATTTTCGAAAAATCCGGTTTGGAAATGAAACTTTTTAGATATCTTGAAAATTGTCGTTTATTCAATCGATTTTGGAAAAATTGTTGGAATTTTTGAAGAAATAAAGCCGAAAATAACTTCTGTAAGTCAAAATCTACAAGAAAATGTATTTAGGTAATTTTTCGAAGGGTTCGAAAATGGTCAAAAATTCATACACATTTTTGAAAAAGTCTAAAAATCCTCAAAAATTCTAGAAAAGATATTTCGACGAGCTGATTCGAAAAACATAACATGTTGATATTCCCGTACCAAGATTTTCAAAAAGTTCGGTTTGAAATAATTTTTTTGAAATATCTGGAAAATTTTGGTTTTTTATTTAATTCGTTTTGGAACAATTGTTGGAATTTTTTAAGAAATAGAGCCAAAATAACTTCTATGAATCAAAGTCTACAAGAGAATGTGTAGGTAATATTTCGAAAGGTGTTTGAAAAGTAGTCAAAATTTCGCATTTTTGAAAAATTTAAATTTTTAAAAATTGTCTAAAAATTGTCAAAAAAATTGGGGAAATGTATTTCGACGAGCTAATTCGAAAAATATAACATGTTGATGTTCCAGGACCACGATTTTTAAGAAATCCGGTTTGGAAATACATTTTTTTAAATATCTTGAAAATTGTCGTTTATTCAATCGATTTTGGAAAAATTGTTAGATATTTTGAAGAAATAACGCCGAAAATAACTTCTAGAAGTCCAAATTTACAAGAAAATGGCTAGGTAATATTTCGAAAGGTGATTGGAAGGTCAAAATTTCGTATTTTTGAAAAACTGAAATTTTCAAAATGTTTTAAAAATTGTCAAAAAAATCTGGGAAATATATTTCGACGAGCTAATTCGAAAAATATAACATATTGATGTTCCAGGACTACGATTTTCGAAAAATCCGGTTTGCAAATGAAATTTCTTAAATACATATCTTGAAAATTGTCGTATATTTATTTAATCGATTCTTGAAAAAATGTTAGATTTTTTGAAGAACTAAAGCCGAAAATAACTTCTGTAAGTCAAAATCTACAAGAAAATGTATTTAGGTAATTTTTTCGCAGGGTGCTCGAAAATGGTCAAAATTCATATACATTTTTGAAAAAGTCTAAAAATCCTCAAAAATTCTAGAAAAGACATTTCGATGAGCTGATTCGAAAAACATAACATGTTAATTTTCTCGTACCAAGATTTTCAAAAAGTTCGGTTTGAAATGATTTTTTTGAAACATCCGGAAAATTTTTGTTTTTTATTTAATCCATATTGGAACAATTGTTGGAATTTCTTAAGAAATAAAGCCGAAAATAACTTCTACGGTTCAAAATCTACAAGAAAATGTGTAGGTAATATTTCGAAGGGCGTTTGAAAATTAGTCAAAATTTCGGATTTTTGAAAAATTGAAATTCTTAAAAAGTTTTCTAAAAATTGTCAAAAAAACCTGGGAGATATATTTCGACGAGCTAATTCAAAAAATATAACATATTGATGTTCCAAGACCGCGATTTTTGAAAAATCCGGTTTGGAAATGAAATTTTTAAATATTTTGAAAATTGTCGTGTATTCAATTAATTTTGGAAAAATTGTTGGATATTTTGAAGAAATAAAGCCAAAAGTAACTTCTACATGTCGAAATCTACAAGAAAATGCCTAGGTAATATTTCGAAGGGTGTTTGGAAGGTCAAAATTTCGTATTTTTGAAAAACTGAAATTTTCAAAATGTTTTAAAAATTGTCAAAAAAATCTGGGAAATATATTTCGACGAGCTAATTCGAAAAATATAACATATTGATGTTCCAGGACCACGTTTTTCGAAAAATCCGGTTTGGAAATGAAATTTTTTAAATATCTTGCAAATTGTCATATATCTAATTGATTTTGGAAAAATTATTGGATATTTTGAAGAAATAAAGCCAAAAATAACTTCTACATGTCGAAATCTACAAGAAAATGCCTAGGTAATATTTCGAAGGGTATTTGGAAGGTCAAAATTTCGTATTTTTGAAAAACTGAAATTTTCAAGATGTTCTAAAAATTGTCAAACAAATCTGGGAAATATATTTCGACGAGCTAATTCGAAAAATATAACATTGATGTTCCAGGACCACGTTTTTTGAAAAATCCGGTTTGGAAATGAAATTTTTTAAATATCTTGAAAATTGTCATATATTTAATTGATTTTGGAAAAATTGTTGGATATTTTGAAGAAATAAAGCCAAAAATAACTTCTACATGTCGAAATCTACAAGAAAATGCCTAGGTAATATTTCGAAGGATGTTTGGAAGGTCAAAATTTCGTATTTTTGAAAAATTGAACTTTTTAAAAAAGTGTCTAAAAATTTTCAAAAAAATCTGGGAAATACATTTTATTTTATTTTATTTTATTTTATTTTATTTTATTTTACAGAGAAATTACAGAGTAGAGGATGAGCTAATTCGAAAAGTGTGGCACGTTTGATGTTCCAGGACTACGATTTTCAAAAAAATCGGTTTGAAAATATTTTTTTTGATATCTTGAAAATTGTTGGAATTTTTGAAGAAATAAAGCTGAAAATAACTTCCAGAAGTCGAAATCGACTAGAAAATGTATTCAGGTAATTTTTCGAAGGGTGCTCCAAAATGGTCAAAAATTCATACATATTTTTAAATCCTCGAAGAACTCTGGGAAATAATTTCGACTAGCTGATTTAAAAAAACAGAACATGTTGATGTTCCCGTATAAAGATTTTTGAAAATTTCGGTTTGAAAATGATTTTTTTTCAAATATCTGGAAAACTGTAGTTGTTTATTTAATCCATTCTGGAACAATTGTTGAAATGTTTTAAGAAATAAAACCGAAAATAACTCCTCTAGGTAATATTTCGAAAAGTGCTTGAAAAGTGGTCAAAATTTCGCATTTTTGAAGAATTGAAATTTTTAAAAAGTCCGAAAATTCTCAAAAAAATCTGGGAAAAACATTTCGACGAGCTAATTCGAAAAATACAACATGTTGATGTTCCAGGGCTACGATTTTCGAAAAGTCCGGTTTGGAAAAGAATTTTTTTAAATATCTTGGAATTTGTCGTTTCTGGAAGAATTGTTGGAATTTTTTATGAAATAAAGCCGAAAATAACTTCTAGAAGTCGAAATCTACAAGAAAAAATGTATTCAGGTAATTTTTCAAAGGGTGCTAGAAAACGATAAAAAATTCACACATATTTTCGAAAAATTTACATTTTTGAAGAGTTTTCTAAAAATCCTCAAAAAAATCTAGGTAATACATTTCGACGAGCTAATTCGAAAAACATAACATATTGACGTTCCAGGACCAAAATTTTCGAAAAATCCGGTTTGAAAATGAATTTTTTTAAATAGCTTGAAAATTGTTGGAATTTTTGAAGAAATAAAGCCGAAAATAACTTCTAAAAGTCGAAACCTGGAAGAAAATGTATTCAGGAAATTTTTCGAAGGGTACTTGAAAACGGTAAAAAATTCATACACATTTTTGAACATTTACATTTTTGAAAAGTTGTCCAAAAATCCTGAAAAATTCTGGAAAATACATTTCAGCGAACTGATTCGAAAAACATAACATGTTGATTTTCCCGTACCAAGATTTTCGAAAATTTCGGTTTGAAAATGATTTTTTTTTTTCAAATATCTGGAAAACTAGTTGTTTATTTAATCCATTCTGGAACAATTGTTAAAATTTTTTAAGAAATAAAGCCGAAAATAACTTCCAATAGTCAAAATCTACAAGAAAATGCCTAGATAATATTTCGAAGGGTGATTGGAAGGTCAAAATTTCGTATTTTTGAAAAATTGAAATTTTTAAAAAAGTGTAAAAATTCTCAAAAAAATCTAGGAAATACATTTGGATGAGCTAATTCGAAAACTATGGCATGTTGTGTTCCAGGACCACGACTTTTGAAAAAATCGGTTTGAAAATAATTTTTTTTCGATATCTTGAAAATTATCTTTTAAGTATTTAATCGATTTGGGAAAAATTGTTGGAATTTTTGAAGAAATAAAGCCGAAAATAACTTCTATAAGTCGAAATCTATAAGAAAATATTTTTGGGGTAATTTTTCGAATGGTCAAAAATTCATATTTCCTGAAAATTAGAAATTTTTGAAAAGTTGTCTACAAATCCTCAAAAATTCTGGAAAATACATTTCGACGAGCTGATTCGAAAAACATAACATGCTGATTTTCCCGTTTCAAGATTTTCGAAAATTTCGGTTTGAAAATTATTTTTTTGAAATATCTGGAAAATTTTGGTTTTTTATTTAATTCATTCTGGAACAATTGTTGTAATTTTTTAAGAAACAAACCCGAAAAAACTTCTACGATTCAAAATCTAGAAGAAAATGTGCAGGTAATATTTCGAAAGGTGTTTGAAAAGTAGTCAAAATTTCGCATTTTTGAAAAATTTAAATTCTTAAAAGTTTTCTAAAAATTGTCAAAAAAATGTGGGAGATATATTTCGACGAGCTAATTCAAAAAATATAACATATTGATGTTCCAAGACCGCGATTTTTTTAAAATCCGGTTTGGAAATCAAATTTTGAAATATCTTGAAAATTGTCGTGTATTCAATTGATTTTGGAAAAATTGTTGGATATTTTGAAGAAATAAAGCCAAAAGTAACTTCTACAAGTCGAAATCTACAAGAAAATGCCTAGGTAATATTTCGAAGGGTGTTTGGAAGGTCAAAATTTCGTATTTTTGTAAAACTGAAATTTTCAAAATGTTCTAAAAAATGTCAAAAAAATCTGGGAAATATATTTCAACGAGCTAATTCGAAAAATATAACATGTTGATGTTCCAGGACTACGTTTTTTGAAAAATCCGGTTTGGAAATGAATTTTTTTAAATATCTAGAAAATTGTCATATATTTAATTGATTTTGGAAAAATTGTTGGATATTTTGAAGAAATAAAGCCAAAAATAACTTCTAGATGTCGAAATCTACAAGAAAATGCCTAGGTAATATTTCGAAGGGTATTTGGAAGGTCAAAATTTCGTATTTTTGAAAAACTGAAATTTTCAAAATGTTCTAAAAATTGTCAAAACAATCTGGGAAATATATTTCGACGAGCTAATTCGAAAAATATAACATATTGATGTTCCAGGACCACGATTTTCGAAAAATCCGGTTTGGAAAAGAAATTTTTTAAATATCTTGGAATTTGTCGTTTCTGGAAGAATTGTTGGAACTTTTTAAGAAATGAAGCCGAAAATAACGTCTAGAAGTCAAAATTTACAAGAAAAAGTATTCAGGTAATTTTTCAAAGGGTGCTAGAAAACGATAAAAAATTCATACATATTTTGGAAAAAATTACATTTTTGAAAAGTTTTCTAAAAATCCTCAAAAAAATCTAGGTAATACATTTCGACGAGCTAATTCGAAAAACATAACATGTTGACGTTCCAGGACCAAAATTTTCGAAAAATCCGGTTTGAAAATGAATTTTTTTAAATAGCTTGAAAATTGTTAAAATTTTTTAAGAAATAAAGCCGAAAATAACTTCCAGTAGACAAAATCTACAAGAAAATGCCTAGATAATATTTCGAAGGGTGCTTGGAAGGTCAAAATTTCGTATTTTTGAAAAATTGAAATTTTTAAAAAAGTGTAAAAATTCTCAAAAAAATCTAGAAAATACATTTGGATGAGCTTATTCGAAAAATATGGCATGTTGTGTTCCAGGACCACGATTTTTGAAAAAATCGGTTTGAAAATGATTTTTTTTCGATATCTTGAAAATTATCTTTTAAGTATTTAATCGATTTGGGAAAAATTGTTGGAATTTTTGAAGAAATAAAGCCGAAAATAACTTCTATAAGTCGAAATCTATAAGAAAATATTTTTGGGGTAATTTTTCGAATGGTCAAAAATTCATATTTCCTGAAAATTAGAAATTTTTGAAAAGTTGTCTACAAATCCTCAAAAATTCTGGAAAATACATTTCAACGAGCTGATTCGAAAAACATAACATAACTTGAATATGATTTTTTTGAAATATCTGGAAACATATGCTTGTTTATTTAATCCATTCTGGAACAATTGTTGAATTTTTTTTTTAAATAAACCGAAAAGAACTTCCCCGTCTCAAAATCTACAAGAAAAAGCCTAGGTAACATTTTGCAAGGTCCAAATTTCGAATTTTTGAAAAATTCTTAAATATGTACTTACCTTGATTTTCGGCTTGTTCGCGCATGCGTCGAACTTGACGGCGTATCCCACCGCCTCCCCCTGCACCAGCGTCCCCGTCTCGTCGGCCACCCGATTGGCCAATGAGATAGCTGCGACTCGCCTCGGCTCGCACACTCCGATCTGCCCCGGCCATTCGGCTTCGATCATATACTGGACAGGAGAGACAAACCATCGTTCAAATTAAGCAACTTATTTATTTAGCTTAAACACCATTCCAACGTACATTTATCGTAACAATAAAAAATATCTCTGACGTAACAAAAAATATCTCAACTCTTACAACTACGGTCAAATACAATGCAACAATACGAACGTAGTAACTGGCAAGAACAGTTCTTAACGCTAGTCGTAAAGCTTAGAGTGCATTTTACATGGACTAGTTCGTGCACGTGAAATTATTGCTTAAATAAACCCATAAGAAATCGCAGGTGTTCGAAGACTCGGAAAGAAACGGCTACGGTTTTCTACACAATTTTATTCAAACGGCTACTGATACAAAAATCTTAGTTAATGTTAGTTTCGGTGGAAGAAATGTAAAAATAAGAGATACTATCTCGCCCTGAGCATGCCACAGGTTTTTATAATCACACATGACGTTAATAAGCGATTAGAGCAGTTTTCGTTAACAACTACTGGTTTTTAGTTTTTATTATTTGTATATAAGTCTTTAGGTTTCGTCGAATGAAAAACGATTTTGTTATTATTATTATTACTATTAGTACAAACATCTACTTCGAAGTATTTTTTTTTTAGGCAAAATATCCATTCAAGGTTTATAAATAGGTGGCTTTCCTTCTTGGATAAATTTCATAGAATATTATTATAAAAACCGTATCTATAAAATAACAATGTGGTCGAAGCGCTCACTATTTTTCATTTAAATACGGATTTGTTTTATACAGGGTGTAATAATCGTGAATCATCTACAGTTCCAAAGGAAGGTGGTAAAATCACATTACCTGCAACCACACGTCACGTATTCTTAAACATTTGAATTCTTAGTGTTCGGTAAATTACAGTTTTTTAAGGAAACCGCAGCTCAATTTCGGGTACTGATAAGAAACAGTTTCCTAATAAAATTACACGTATCCACATCCGTTTGATATTAGTCTTCCTCGATTCTCGATATGCGCAAATATTGTTAAATATTTGCGTTAGGTCCCGTCTACGATTAAATAATGCTCATTAAGTAAATACATACGGTAGAACACGCAATAGATTAACATAAAATGTATAACGTTATCTTATCACAGAAAGTAGGTAGTAAATAGGGGGATAACAGAGTTAGGTGTTGATTATGCACGTTTTTGCTTGGAAAATACAACACAGTACAATTGTGTCCTGAAATTTATTTTTAAAATAATGATGTTGGCAGCACCGACAAGTTTCTGTCTGTCAAATTAAAAATAAATTTCATGGCCAACTAGGGTAAAAAATATTAAAGAAAGTTTACAACATGTTCACGTACAATAAGAAAAGTCGATTGTAACTTTGGAAATTCAAAAACTTTTAAAACAAAAACATATCAGATTTTTCGAAATCCAAAATTTCAAAAACATGAACCCTCATGAAATCAAAATGTTGGGAAATGTGGAGTTTCTGCAATTTATTCATGTGTTTGAAACAAATATAAAAAAAATTTTCAAAAAACACGATTTAAAAATTTTCCAATTGTGTAAGTCACGAATTTTGAATTTTTCAAAAGTTCACAATTATAAGTTTTCAAATTTGTCACACCTCCGTCAAAACACGGATAAAGAAAACTCGACTTTGTTAATTAAACAGAAATCGATTTTTTTGATTAAAAATTCCAAAAATATAAAAACCACACTAAATCTAAATGTTCAGACAGGTAAGATTTCTGCCAATTGTTAATGTGCCAAAAAGTGTTTATATCAAACATATAAACAAGAATTTTTTTTTTCAAAAAAAATACGAATCAAAAATTTTTCAAAATTTCTCCACCATAAGGGTCTTCAAATTCGCCAAAAAACGGAATAATAAAACCCGAGTTTCTTAAAACAAGTGCCTTAAATTTCGATTAAATTAGAAAAATCCAAAGCGGGATAATTTTAAATAACACAAAAGGTGGATTTTTTTTTAATTAAAAATCCAAAAATATAAAAAAACACTAAATCTGAAGAATAGAAAAATTAAAACTCGAGAAACTGAAAAATTTGTAAAATCAAAAAACTGCAAAATTTGTAAAATTTTAAAAATTCGAAAAATTTAAACTTGAAACCTAAAAAAATCGACCGAATATTCGAATTCGAAAAATTATTTGAAGGAGAAAATTTGTAAAATCGAAACATCGTTAAAATGAAGAAACGAAAAAATTGTAAAACCGAAAATCTGAAAAATCAGAAAACTGAAGAATAGAAAAATCAAAAATCTAGAAACTAAAAATTGTAATTGGCGACCAATCACAGTAAAACACATCGGCGTCAAATTCAAACTGGTGCAAATTTTAATTTTTCGAGTTTTTAGTTTTTTCGTTTCTTCAATTTTTTGATTTTACAATTTTTCGAAATTTGGGCTTATAAAATTTAATTTTCCGCTTTTTCAATTTACCGATTTTTCCACTCAAGAAAACTGAAAAATCTAAAAATTATAAACCTAAAAATTGAAGAAACTAAAAATTGAAAAAAAAAGGAACAACGAAGATCAAGAAAACAACTAAATGTGCTATTCAAGATTTTCGATTTGCCATTTTTCGAGTTTTCAGTTTTAAATTTTTCGATTTTTCAAATTTTGAAATTTTCGATTTGGAATTTTTTCGAGTTTTCTGTTTTTAGATATTTTAATTTTTGGTTTTCAATTTGACTTTCCAATTTTTCGATTTTGCAACTACTGAATTTTTCGTTTCTTCAATTTTTGGATACTTTAATTTTTGATCTTTCGATTTTCCAAATTTTCGTTTTAGTTTTTCAACTTCTTTGTTACAAAATTTTGCACCTTTTCGATTTTTTAATTTTTAGATATTTGAGTTTATAAAATTTAATTTTTTGCTTTTTCAATTTATCGATTTTTCCACTTAAAAAAATTGAAAAATCTAAAAATTGTAAACTTAAAAATCGAAAAAACGAAAAATTAAAAAAAAAAGAAAAATCGAAAATCAAGAAAACAACTAAATGTGCTATTCAAGATTTTCGATTTGCCATTTTTCGAGTTTTCAAACTTTGAATTTTTCTATTTGGAATTTTTTTGAGTTTTCTATTTTTAGAAATTTTAATTTTTGATCTTTCGATTTTCCAAATTTTCGTTTTAGTTTTTCAACTTCTTTGTTACAAAATTTTGCACTTCTTCGATTTTTTAATTTTTAGATATTTGAGTTTATAAAATTTAATTTTCCGCTTTTTTAATTCATCGATTTTTTCCACTTAAAAAAATTTAATAATCGAAAATTTGAAAATCGAGAAGATGCAAAATCTAAAAATTATAAACCCAAAAATTGAAAAAAAATTAAAAATCAAGAAAACAAACACTAAATTTGCCATTCAAGTTTTTCGATTTGCTATTTTTCGAGTTTTCGATTTTTCAAATTTTGAATTTTCGTTTATTGAACTTTTCGATTTGGAATTTTTCAAGTTTTCTATTTTTGGATGTTTTAATTTTTGTTTTTTCAATTTTTTTTTACATATTTCGATTTTTCAACTTCGAATTTTTTTTTTCGATTTTTCAATTTGTCGATCTTTCAGTTGAAGATTCAAAAAAATAAAAAATCTAAAATTTGAAAATCGAGAAACTGGAAAATCGAAATATTAAAATAGTGAAAAACTGTAAAATCTAAAAATTCAAAAAGCGAAGAATAGAAATATTCAAAAGTTGAAAAATCAGAAAATTAATCAAAAATAAAAAGCAAAAAATTTAAAATTGAAACCTCAAAACATCGAATGAATACTCGAATTCGAAAAAATTGTAAAACCGAAAATTTGAAAAATCCAAAAATTCGAAAACTTGAAAAATCAGAAAACTGAAAATTGGAAAATTTGTAAAATCAAAAAATTGCAAAATTTGTACAATTAAAAAAAATCCAAAAATTTAAAATTGAAGAAACGAAAAATTGTAAAATCAAAAATTTTAAAAATCCAACAGTTGAGAAATTGAAATTTTAGAATTGAAACCTCAAAAAATCGAACGAGTACTCGAACTGGAAAAATTTAAGAAAAAAAAAAATTGAAGAATCGAACAATTAAAAATCGGGAGTATGAAAAATAGAAAATTCGTAAAATTGAAAAATCCAAAGGTTGAAAAATCAGAAAATTGAAGAATAGAAAAATTAAAAATCGAGAAACTCAAACATGGAAAGTTTGAAAAATCGAAATTTTAAACTTGAAGTGAAAAATTGAAAAATTCAAAAGTTGAAAAATTGAAGTCTAAAAACTGAAGAAACGAAATATTAAAAATTGAGAAACTGAAAAATGGAAATCTACAATTTTTCGAAAAATTGAAAGACTAAAAATTCGAAAAATTGAAGAAAAAGAAAACTGAAGAATCGAAAAATTAAAAACCGAGAAGCTGAAAAATAAGAAAATTTGTAAAACCCAAGAATTGTAAAATTCTAAAATGGAAACATTGAAAACTCGAAAATTTGGAAAATTCGAAAGTTGAAAAATTTTTTCAAAATTTCTTCAGTTTTCAAATTCAAATTTTTCAAATTCGCTACATCTTCCTAAAAAAAATTGATTAATAAAACTCGAATTTCTTAGATTAAGTGCCTTAAATTTCAATTAATTCAGAAAAATGCAAAAATATAAAAAAAAACACTAAATCTAAATGTTCAGAAAAGTGAAGTTTCTGCAAATGGTTATAAACAAGAAAAAAAAACTTGAACAAAATCCAAATTAAAAATTTTTCAAAATTTCTCCAACATGAGGTTTTTCAAATTCGTTAAATCTTAGCCAAAAAAAACGGATTAATAAAACTCGAGTTTTTTAGATTAAGTGCCTTAAATTTCGATCAAATCAGAAAAATCCAAAGCGGAATAATTTTAAATAGTACAAAAAGTGAATTTTTTAAATTAAAAATTGCAAAACTATAAAAACCACACTAAACCAAAATGTTGAGAAATGTAAAGTTTCTACAAATTGTTAAGATTTGAACACAATTTTCAAAAAATACGAATTTAAAATTTTTCAAAATTTCTCGAC